ATAAACTGTATGTTGATCTGCAGGGAGAGATAATTGCCCCTCGTCTCTATATTCTCTTGATGTTTGTATAAACTGTATGTTGATCTGCAGGGAGAGATAATTGCCCCTCGTCTCTATATTCTCTTGATGTTTGTATAAACTGTATGTTGATCTGCAGGGAGAGATAATTGCCCCCTCGTCTCTATATTCTCTTGATGTTTGTATAAACTGTATGTTGATCTGCAGGGAGAGATAATTGCCCCTCGTCTCTATATTCTCTTGATGTTTGTATAAACTGTATGTTGATCTGCAGGAGAGATAATTGCCCCTTCGTCTCTATATTCTCTTGATGTTTGTATAAACTGTATGTTGATCTGCAGGGAGAGATAATTGCCCCTTCGTCTCTATATTCTCTTGATGTTTGTATAAACTGTATGTTGATCTGCAGGGAGAGATAATTGCCCCTCGTCTCTATATTCTCTTGATGTTTGTATAAACTGTATGTTGATCTGCAGGGAGAGATAATTGCCCCCTCGTCTCTATATTCTCTTGATGTTTGTATAAACTGTATGTTGATCTGCAGGAGAGATAATTGCCCCTCGTCTCTATATTCTCTTGATGTTTGTATAAACTGTATGTTGATCTGCAGGAGAGATAATTGTTCGTCTCTATATATTCTCTTGATGTTTGTATAAACTGTATGTTGATCTGCAGTCTCTATATTCTCTTGATGTTTGTATAAACTGTATGATCTGCAGGGAGAGATAATTGCCCCTCGTCTCTATATTCTCTTGATGTTTGTATAAACTGTATGTTGATCTGCAGGGAGAGATAATTGCCCCTTCGTCTCTATATTCTCTTGATGTTTGTATAAACTGTATGTTGATCTGCAGGGAGAGATAATTGCCCCCTCGTCTCTATATTCTCTTGATGTTTGTATAAACTGTATGTTGATCTGCAGGGAGAGATAATTGCCCCCTCGTCTCTATATTCTCTTGATGTTTGTATAAACTGTATGTTGATCTGCAGGGAGAGATAGTTGCCCCTTCGTCTCTATATTCTCTTGATGTTTGTATAAACTGTATGTTGATCTGCAGGGAGAGATAATTGCCCCTTCGTCTCTATATTCTCTTGATGTTTGTCAAATATCCTTTCCAGTTGTTCAAGACAACACGTTGGACATAAGTTGATAGCTAGGTTCATTTCCGGATTGTAGGAAAAAAGTCTTCGGTAAAAAAAGTCTTATGTAAAAAAGTACCGGAAAAAAAAGTCCTATTGTAATAAAAAAACTATTTATTCATCAACTTTGAGGTCAACGATTTTGGAAAAAAACATTGATAACTCACACATATAGAATCTTTTTAGTGACACTTATGAAAACATGAAGTACTCCCATACAAAGGGTCTTTACATTGAGACAAGGATATATCATGAAAAATTGATAAGTTTTACAGTCTTTTACTGGTTTCACAATTACACACAACTGACAAGGATGTCCATTTCGTTTCCATGGACTCCCATATGTCACCCAGATAAAATGTATTTGATTATTTTTGTTTTGGTGGTATAGTATTCTTCTGTATATGTTATTTATTAGATCTGGTCTTTTTGTTGTAGAGTAATTTTGAGAGCCTGTATGGAGCTTAAGGAATCCGCAAAAATGCAGATGGTAGTGTTTGTTTGGTCAGATGCTGTTTGCAAGGCCTAAAATATGGCTGCGAGTTCTGCTGTGAAGATACTGGAGTTTGCCGGGAGATTGTAGGATTGTTTAAGGCTTTTTTTGGGTATGTAAATTACATCCAGTAGTACTCTTCTAATTTCAAGCACATTCTAACAAATCCCAAATGAATTAAACCACGAACTAAATATCTCATTCATACAAAATTATACCAAACAATCTAGCAACAAAAACAATACCACTTTTTACCATTTTAAAAATTGTTATAAATATGTATATATGTTCTTTTAACTTTATAACCATTTACTACACCACAACTATATTAAATTCAAAATCTCTATACTCTTTACCTATTTCATTTTTATATTTTTTTACCTTTTTAATTCGGCATCCCATTCAAATTTCCCTTAATACTCAGTTGTTAGGGATTTTGTTTGGTAGTAACACCACTCTTTCAAAATTTCTATATTTTTGTTCCCCTCATTTCTTAATAAGTGTACTATCCCGTCGCCGAAATATCTTAGTTGTGTGTGCCACATTAAATAAAACAAATAACTACTACTACCTTACTCCAAACGACACACCCCTTCTTCATTGTTAATTGGGCTGTTCCATTATTCTACAGGGCTAAAAATCATTTCCCACGCTGCCTACAATAGTTTTGTTGGAAGTTTGGGATGTAGGCAGTTTGGAACTGAAGGCAGTATGGGACCTAACCTATTAAAAGGACATATTAAATATTTAGATAGGTCTTTGATCTTTTAAATGACATTTAGAAACATGAAGTACTTACATTTTGTGATTATAACGGACAGATTAGATATTCAAACTGATCTTTGATCTTTAAAACAATGTTTTCAAAGGCATGAGTTGTAAGTGTCATTAGAACGGACAGATTAGAATAAGACTCAACAGACATTCCAGACCTATGCTGTATGGCGTGGCAGTAAACATTAGTATGAATACCAGTCAGTAGACATTAATATTCATCAATATTCTGTAGTAGGAGTAAAGCTGAAGAAATCTGTAATGTATGTACAGAATCAGTCTATTTTACATTTGTTGTACGAATATACAATACATGAAAGTCAATAAACGCTATGAAAATCTATGAAAAACCAAAAAATACTTTTTATTCTTTTGTAAAAAATTCCTTTTTCAAATTAGGAATATTTTCTGGAGGACTTTTTTTCCTAGGCAAATTTAGGACTTTTTTCCGGTACTTTTTTCCGAGGACTGTTTTTCCGCACACCCATTTCCGGATCTTCACCCATGCGTTTGTTTATCAATATTAATTGAGAAATATTGCATTAAGAAAGCTGAACTGAATATTTACATTCAATTATGCATTTGCAAGGCAAAATGATATTGTTTCATGTGATAGGTAAAGAAAAGTGTTTTGTTTTTGTTTTTTAAAGAAAATGTTTTGTATAATTTTGGATTTGTGTGAAGAGTTTCGAAGACAATGAACTACGGGAACTGTCTGAGTGATGACTCAACACACTGTGCCGCCATTACAGAGCATTTATTCTCATTGTGAACAGTAAAAGTAAAGTAACAGATAGAAATACGGTGTTTGATTTATCACAGTAGGTTGTACTAAACATAAACAATGCAATGTAAAACAGATGGTTACAACAAGTGGGTCAACAATAGTCGACAATGACAAGGGAATACATGGAACACACAGGATCGAGGAAATACTGGCAGTATATACATGGTACATTCATGATAGGGTCGGGGTGATTAGGCGGATCCAGAGGGGGGATGCAGGGGTGCGCACCCCCCTTTTCTCAATGAAACTTATGAAACGACTACTGAAACTTGGGTGAAAATGAAGTGTGCACCCCTCCTTTTCTCAATAGTGTGCACCCCCACCCACCCACCCCTTTCTCAAAAAGCTGTATCCGCCCCTGGGGTGGACGTCGTTTCAGGTTGACAACGCACGAGCACACAGGGCTTCTGTTGTTTCTGTGTACCACCAATCGGAAACCAGGACATGGCCGGCACACAGTCACCCCTGGAACATGTCTGGGATATGTTGGTACGTCACCGGTAACACCCATCGACCATTCTAACAAAATTGGCGTTGCTTTGCAGAAAGAATGAACAGAATGAACCAATTTGACATTGGCCGTTTGATTAGTAATATGCCACAACGAGTCCGGGATTGTCTCGAGAGTTGAGGAGGACTCACGCGACACTTAGAAGTTTGACTTTTCATGAATAATGACCTGAACAAAAGTTGTTCTCTACACAAATCAACTGACATTAAAAGACTAATACAAATCCCTGTCACACTGTTAACTATTACTAAACATATCCATAGTTGCCAAATTTGTTTGTTGAACATCCCCTACTTTATAATAGTACCCTTCACTGGTGTTGAAATAGGACCGCAGGTAGCCTACTTGCAACAGTCTATATATTCAGCCACTGCTGCCCGTCAGCTTATGCATGAACACTGTCCTCCATGTTGTCTGTATATTCAAGATGTATCGACACCACCACGAACACAGGAGGTACCTAATACCTCACACCCTCTGTTATAGTGGCTATTGGGCTTCAGTTGCCTGTGTCAACTGATTGATTTGAGACCGACTTTTGGGTGTGCAAGATGTCCATGCAAGATTCTGAATGGGGCTGAAATGGCTGGATCAGGTTATGATTTGATACGTTTTGTGCTGGAATTAAAAAGGAATCAGAAATGACTAACATCACTCTGTTACTATGCCATGGTGTACTGGCCACAGTCTCCAATGATATACCATGGTGTACTGGCCATAGTCTGCAATGATATACCATGGTGTACTGGCCACAGTCTCCAATGATATACCATGGTGTACTGACCAGAGTCTCCAATGATATACCATGGTGTACTGACCACAGTCTACAATGGTATACCATGGTGTACTGACCACAGTCTGCAATGATATACCATGGTGTACTGGCCACAGTTTGCAATGGCATACCATGGTGTACTGACCACAGTCTGCAATGGCATACCATGGTGTACTGGCCACAGTCTCCAATGACATACCATGGTGTTCTGGCCACAGTCTGCAATGGTATACCATGGTGTACTGGCCACAGTCTGCAATGATATACCATGGAGTACTGGCCACAGTCTCCAATGATATACCATGGTGTACTGGCCACAGTCTGCAATGATATACCATGGTGTACTGACCAGTCTCCAATGATATACCATGGTGTACTGGCCACAGTCTGCAATGGTATACCATGATGTACTGACCACAGTCTGCAATGATATACCATGGTGTACTGACTACAGTCTGCAATCGCATACCATGGTGTACTGACCACAGTCTGCAATGGCAAACCATGGTGTACTGGCCACAGTCTGCATTGGTATACCATGGTGTACTGGCCACAGTCTTCAATGATATACCATGGTGTACTGACCACAGTCTGCAATGGTATACCATGGTGTACTGGCCACAGTCTCCAGTGATATACCATGGTGTACTGACCACAGTCTGCAATGGTATACCATGGTGTACTGGCCACAGTCTGCAATGATATACCATGGTGTACTGACTACAGTCTGCAATGGTATACCATGGTGTACTGGCCACAGTCTGCAATGATATACCATGGTGTACTGACCACAGTCTGCAATGATATACCATGGTGTACTGACCACAGTCTCCAATGATATACCATGGTGTACTGGCCACAGTCTGCAATGATATACTATGGAGTACTGACCACAGTCTGCAATGGTATACCATGGTGTACTGGCCACAGTCTTCAATGATATACCATGGTGTACTGACCACAGTCTGCAATGGTATACCATGGTGTACTGGCCACAGTCTCCAATGATATACCATGGTGTACTGACTACAGTCTGCAATGGCATACCATGGTGTACTGGCCACAGTCTCCAATGACATACCATGGTGTACTGGCCACAGTCTGCAATGGTATACCATGGTGTACTGACCACAGTCTGCAATGGCATACCATGGTGTACTGGCCACAGTCTGCAATGGTATACCATGGTGTACTGACCACAGTCTCCAATGATATACCATGATGTATTTACCTCAATCTGTCATGGTATACTTAAGATGTACAGTAGAATTCCACAAACCTGGCCTACCATAGGATAGTTGTGAGAAAAATAACTACTACTACTACTACTACTACTACATAAATGCTTCTGTTTTTCAGAAAAGAGTCTTCAGTTATCAACATATACACATCATGAGAACCACCACACAACAGTCACCACTGGGGATGTCTGACAATGCATATACATCAATACTTCACCAACAGATGAACTGCGTTAATTACTTGCATCTGGATCGTTAGTTGAGCAGTCATTGTCATTTGACACTGAAATGAGGATAGAGATGATCCCATCAATAGGGAAGGGTGACCGAGTGTCAGCACAGCTCACTGTCTCACAGCCAGAATGGTCGGTCCATGACTGGGATTCAGATATGTGGAAGTGTATTTATGCAGACAATATTTATCATATGCATGTGTCTGGGAAAGTGAGGTTTGATTGGACAGAAATCACAGGTCTGGCATTACGTAAGAGTGTTTCACATTGTTTTTTTATCTACCAAATTCTTTCCTTTACATGCTCTTCAGCCACTTCTCTTCTAAATGCTGTTGTGGTTGCATGTGAATGAATGTGAGAGGAAGAGGGGAAAGCTCGTCATCATCAGTCATAAATCTAAATTATTCTAAATGATTAGCAGCCTGTTTTATGTCGAGTTTCAACTTGTTAAGCTGGCAAAAAAAGTTGTCTGAAAATGTTATCTTCTTCTTTGGATAAAAAAACAATGTTCGCTGGAAGTCAGTTGTTGCTCAGGAGCCGGGCAGATCAGTCACCTCACTGGGACTCCATCTTCATCCTGTATAACACAAGACCATACACTGAGTCTCACACACTCCCCTGTACAACACAAGACCATACACTGAGTCTCACACACTCCCCTGTACAACACAAGACTATACACTGAGTCTCACACACTCCCCTGTACAACACAAGACCATACACTGAGTCTCACATACTCCCCTGTACAACACAAGACTATACACTGAGTCTCACACGCTCCCCTGTACAACACAAGACTATACACTGAGTCTCACACACTCCCCTGTACAACACAAGACCATACACTGAGTCTCACATACTCCCCTGTACAACACAAGACTATACACTGAGTCTCACACACTCCCTGTACAACACAAGACCATACACTGAGTCTCACACACTCCCCCTGTACAACACAAGACTATACACTGAGTCTCACACACTCCCCTGTACAACACAAGACCATACACTGAGTCTCACATACTCCCCTGTACAACACAAGACCATACACTGAGTCTCACATACTCCCCTGTACAACACAAGACTATACACTGAGTCTCACACGCTCCCCTGTACAACACAAGACTATACACTGAGTCTCACACACTCCCCTGTACAACACAAGACCATACACTGAGTCTCACATACTCCCCTGTACAACACAAGACTATACACTGAGTCTCACACACTCCCCTGTACAACACAAGACCATACACTGAGTCTCACACACTCCCTGTACAACACAAGACTATACACTGAGTCTCACACACTCCCCTGTACAACACAAGACCATACACTGAGTCTCACACACTCCCCTGTACAACACAAGACCATACACTGAGTCTCACATACTCCCCTGTACAACACAAGACTATACACTGAGTCTCACACGCTCCCCTGTACAACACAAGACTATACACTGAGTCTCACACACTCCCCTTTACAACACAAGACCATACACTGAGTCTCATACTCCCCTGTACAACACAAGACTATACACTGAGTCTCACACACTCCCCTGTACAACACAAGACCATACACTGAGTCTCACACACTCCCCTGTACAACACAAGACTATACACTGAGTCTCACACACTCCCCTGTACAACACAAGACCATACACTGAGTCTCACATACTCCCCTGTACAACACAAGACTATACACTGAGTCTCACACACTCCCCTGTACAACACAAGACTATACACTGAGTCTCACACACTCCCTGTACAACACAAGACCATACACTGAGTCTCACATACTCCCCTGTACAACACAAGACCATACACTGAGTCTCACACTCTCCCTGTACAACACAAGACTATACACTGAGTCTCACACACTCCCCTGTACAACACAAGACTATACACTGAGTCTCACACACTCCCCTGTACAACACAAGACTATACACTGAGTCTCACATACTCCCCTGTACAACACTAGACTATACACTGAGTCTCACATACTCCCCCGTACAACACAAGACCATACACTGAGTCTCACACACTCCCCTGTACAACACAAGAGGTCATTCACACTGAGTCTCACATACTCCCCTGTACAACACAAGACCATACACTGAGTCTCACATACTCCCCTGTACAACACAAGACTATACACTGAGTCTCACACACTCCCCTGTACAACACAAGACCATACACTGAGTCTCACACACTCCCTGTACAACACAAGACCATACACTGAGTCTCACACACTCCCTGTACAACACAAGACCATACACTGAGTCTCACACACTCCCTGTACAACACAAGACCATACACTGAGTTTCACACACACTCCCTGTACAACACAAGACCATACACTGAGTCTCACATACTCCCCCTGTACAACACAAGACTATACACTGAGTCTCACACACTCCCTGTACAACACAAGACCATACACTGAGTCTCACACACTCCCCTGTACAACACAAGACCATACACTGAGTCTCACATACTCCCACGTACAACATAAGACCATACACTGAGTCTCACACACTCCCCTGTACAACACAAAAGGCAGTCACACTGAGTCTCACACACTCCCCTGTACAACACAAGACCATACACTGAGACTCACATACTCCCCTGTACAACACAAGACCATACACTGAGTCTCACATACTCCCCTGTACAACACAAGACCATACACTGAGTCTCACACACTCCCTGTACAACACAAGACTATACACTGAGTCTCACACACTCCCTGTACAACACAAGACCATACACTGAGTCTCACATACTCCCTGTACAACACAAGACCATACACTGAGTCTCACACTCCCCTGTACAACACAAGACCATACACTGAGTCTCACACCCTCCCTGTACAACACAAGACCATACACTGAGTCTCACACGCTCCCCTGTACAACACAAAACTATACACTGAGTCTCACATACTCCCCTGTACAACACAAGACCATACACTGAGTCTCACATACTCCCCTGTACAACACAAGACCATACACTGAGTCTCACATACTCCCTGTACAACACAAGACTATACACTGAGTCTCACACACTCCCCTGTACAACACAAGACCATACACTGAGTTTCACACACTCCCTGTACAACACAAGACCATACACTGAGTCTCACACACTCCCCTGTACAACACAAGACCATACACTGAGTCTCACACACTCCCCTGTACAACACAAGACTATACACTGAGTCTCACATACTCCCTGTACAACACAAGACCATACACTGAGTCTCACATACTCCTGTACAACACAAGACCATACACTGAGTCTCACACACTCCCCTGTACAACACAAGACCATACACTGAGTCTCACATACTCCCCTGTACAACACAAGACCATACACTGAGTCTCACATACTCCCCTGTACAACACAAGACCATACACTGAGTCTCACACGCTCCCCTGTACAACACAAAACTATACACTGAGTCTCACATACTCCCCCGTACAACACTAGACTATACACTGAGTCTCACATACTCCCCCGTACAACACAAGACCATACACTGAGTCTCACACACTCCCCTGTACAACACAAGAGGTCAGTCACACTGAGTCTCACACGCTCCCCTGTACAACACACGACCATACACTGAGTCCACATACTCCCCTGTACAACACAAGACCATACACTGAGTCTCACATACTCCCCTGTACAACACAAGACTATACACTGAGTCTCACACACTCCCCTGTACAACACAAGACTATACACTGAGTCTCACACACTCCCCTGTACAACACAAGACCATACACTGAGTCTCACATACTCCCCTGTACAACACAAGACCATACACTGAGTCTCACATACTCCCCTGTACAACACAAGACTACACACTGAGTCTCACACACTCCCCTGTACAACACAAGACCATACACTGAGTTTCACACACTCCCCTGTACAACACAAGACCATACACTGAGTCTCACACACTCCCCTGTACAACACAAGACCATACACTGAGTCTCACACACTCCCCTGTACAACACAAGACCATACACTGAGTCTCACACACTCCCCTGTACAACACAAGACTATACACTGAGTCTCACATACTCCCCTGTACAACACAAGACTATACACTGAGTCTCACATACTCCCCTGTACAACACAAGACTATACACTGAGTCTCACACACTCTCAGTTATTAACAGACTGCAGCTATATAGTTGTAATATTGCTGAGTGCGACATAAAACTAAACTCATTCACTCACTCACTGTACAACACAAGAGGTCAATCACTGAGCGCCATTCATTGACCTCAACATCAGCAGTGATTTTCAGAATGAATCTCAGTGTACACTGTTACACAGTACAAGATAGCTCACCTAGATCAGGGAACAGTTTAAGGGCCTGCTGTAGTACATCTGCTGCCATGTGTTGCTTGCCTGCCTCTTGACACCACTCCACAAGTGAAGCATAGTGCTCTGCTCTTGCTCCAACTGAGCGCCAGTACTTCATGGCTCCATCCACATCCCCACTACAGATGTAGCGTGTCACAGCTTTTTGCTTCAACAGGTGCAGGTTGTGTGGGTATCTGTAAGTAAAGGAGCACTGTAAGCTTTCTGCTTCAACAGGTGCAGGTTGTGGGTATCTGTAAGTAAAGGGGCACAGTAAGCTTTCTGCTTCAACAGGTGCAGGTTGTGGGTATCTGTAAGTAAAGGAGCACTGTAAGCTTTCTGCTTCAACAGGTGCAGGTTGTGGGTATCTGTGAGTAAAGGAGGACTGTAAGCTTTCTGCTTCAACAGGTGCAGGTTGTGGGTATCTGTAAGTAAAGGAGCACTGTAAGCTTTCTGCTTCAACAGGTGCAGGTTGTGTGGGTATCTGTAAGTAAAGGGGCACTGTAAGCTTTCTGCTTCAACAGGTGCAGGTTGTGGGTATCTGTGAGTAAAGGGGCACTGTAAGCTTTCTGCTTCAACAGGTGCAGGTTGTGGGTATCTGTAAGTAAAGGAGCACTGTAAGCTTTCTGCTTCAACAGGTGCAGGTTGTGTGGGTATCTGTAAGTAAAGGAGCACTGTAAGCTTTCTGCTTCAACAGGTGCACGTTGTGGGTATTTGTAAGTAAAGGAGCACTGTAAGCTGTCTGCTTCAACAGGTGCAGGTTGTGGGTATCTGTAAGTAAAGGAGCACTGTAAGCTTTCTGCTTCAACAGGTGCAGGTTGTGGGTATCTGTAAGTAAAGGAGCACTGTAAGCTTTCTGTATCAACAGGTGCAGGTTGTGGGTATCTGTAAGTAAAGGAGCACTGTAAGCTTTCTGTATCAACAGGTGCAGGTTGTGGGTATCTGTAAGTAAAGGAGCACTGTAAGCTTTCTGTATCAACAGGTGCAGGTTGTGTGGGTATCTGTAAGTAAAGGAGCACTGTAAGCTTTCCGCTTCAACAGGTGCAGGTTGTGTGGGTATCTGTAAGTAAAGGAGCCCTGTAAGCTTTCCGCTTCAACAGGTGCAGGTTGTGGGTATCTGTAAGTAAAGGAGCACTGTAAGCTTTCTGCTTCAACAGGTGCAGGTTGTGGGTATCTGTAAGTAAAGGAGCACTGTAAGCTTTCTGCTTCAACAGGTGCAGGTTGTGGGTATCTGTAAGTAAAGGAGCACTGTAAGCTTTCTGCTTCAACAGGTGCAAGTTGTGGGTATCTGTAAGTAAAGGAGCACTGTAAGCTTTCTGCTTCAACAGGTGCAGGTTGTGTGGGTATCTGTAAGTAAAGGAGCACTGTAAGCTTTCTGCTTCAACAGGTGCAGGTTGTGGGTATCTGTAAGTAAAAGGAGCACCGTAAGCTTTCTGCTTCAACAGGGTTGCAGGTTGTGTGGGTATCTGTAAGTAAAGGAGCACTGTAAGCTTTCTGCTACAACAGGTGCAGGTTGTGTGGGTATCTGTAAGTAAAGGAGCACCGTAAGCTTTCTGCTTCAACAGGTCGGGTTGTGTGGGTATCTGTAAGTAAAGGAGCACTGTAAGCTTTCTGCTTCAACAGGTGCAGGTTGTGTGGGTATCTGTAAGTAAAGGAGCACTGTAAGCTTTCTGTATCAACAGGTGCAGGTTGTGGGTATCTGTAAGTAAAGGAGCACTGTAAGCTTTCTGTATCAACAGGTGCAGGTTGTGGGTATCTGTGAGTAAAGGAGCACTGTAAGCTTTCCGCTACAACAGGTGCAGGTTGTGTGGGTATCTGTAAGTAAAGGAGCACTGTAAGCTTTCCGCTTCAACAGGTGCAGGTTGTGTGGGTATCTGTAAGTAAAGGAGCACTGTTTTCCTGTTGTCATCTTCAAAGTGTGATTCTACATACACACACTTAAGTCTGAAGTGAATAGTAGACAGTGGCTTTATAGGGTATTGATTCAGTAAATTGATGGATCCAATTTCAGAATTTTGTTTTTGAAAGATGTTAATTTAAACATAATATTCTACTAACAACACCTAAATATCAACCCATCTGTGACGTAGATCTGGAAGTAGAAATATTTCCCTGGGATGATTTCTGGGTCTTTGCCAATGTCTGCACATTTGTTCTTCCCTCTTAATAGCACCTACTGGAGGCTGGTAGCATTTGGAGAATTTGTTGTACAGATTTGCACAAGTTCAAAACTTGATTTGTTCTGCAAACCCACTTTTCAACTGTATGGTCCTGATAAACTTCTGTCACATGGTAAATGAAATAAATACAATAACATGGGTCGGACTTTAATGTTTTACACTTGCAGCTGTCTCCTTTCTCAGTCATCATTTTGTGTTGAACCTCGGATAGCTCAGGTATATATATGTAGGTCTTCATGACGCAGTGACTGTATATACTAAACATCTGTACATTATCAACTTGAGCTTTTACGTAGGATACCTTTGAAGGAAGGCACTCTGGGATTCCTTTGGAAGGATGGGTGGGCCTAATCCTCAAGTAGTAGTCTAAGAATGATCATTGGTGTTGATAATATACAAACTTCCTCTGAATACATCATTCTAACACTTGACTGCTGTATCCCACGTAAGGCTATTTAGGTAGATATAATACTAATCTATGGATTTAAACAAAATTCAAGATACATGTGTGAGATCTATGCTGCTTTTGACGGCCCGGGCCAAACAGAATTGAACAATTGTCAAAGTGTGGGGAAAAGATCGTATCATTTATCTGTGGGCATGCTTTAAATATGATGAACAGTGAACTTCTGAGGTAGTATTGGTAAAAACCTTTCCGGGCCAACCGAAATGTATATCAGGATTGACTGAAGTATTTATACGTTTTGAATCCTGTTTCGTTTGACGACTTCTCTTTTAGACATAACCTTGCTTAGTCACTTTCACAGGCCACTCGTCTTCCTGAGTTTTAAGCGATTTACTCGTAATAAGGTTATTATGACACACGTGTGTGGCTTCTTGCTGCCCATATTGTCATGGGTGTAAGCTGGATTCATTAATTGTAGACATGGTTTTCGATAATCAATGTAGTAGCCAATTATATACTTGGCCTTCCTTGACCCGGCTCGGCCCGGCCCGAGTTTTAGGACATCCCCCTTCTCGTTGTTTTGAGAAGCAATGAGTAAATACTTGAAATTTCAAGTTTTGGAAAGAAACTTGAAGTAATGAGAAAATATTTGAAATTTCAAGTTTCTGAAATATACTTGAAGCAACAAGAAATTAATCAAAGCAACGAAAAAATAATTGAAATAACGAGAAAATATTCGAAGCAACGAGTCAATATTCGAAATTTCAAGTTTTTGAGAGAAACTTGAAGCAGCGAGAAAATATTCAAAGCAACGAGAAATTAATCGAAGCAACGAAAAAATAATTGAATTAATTAGAAAACACTCGAAGCAACAAGTAAATACTCGAAATTTCAAGTTTTTACAGAAACTTGAAGTAACGAGAAAATATTTGAAATTTCAATTTTTGATTGAAACTTGAAGTAACAAAAAAACAATTTGAAGTAACGAGAAAATTATTGAAATTACGAGAAAATACTTGAAGTAACGAGTAAATAATCGAAGCAACAAGAATTGTAGCAGAAAAAAATATTTGTGCTGCAAAAGTGGCAGCATTAGGCTTTCGTACCTTTCCACGTTTCCTGAAGGAGACATTCTTAAAACATACCTTGCTATCATTTCTAGTGAATTATAATTAAAATGTTATTACTCCTAAAATGTACCAATGTCCCTCCCCTACATGTAAAAAAATTATGTTGTAACAAAAGTTCAAAACAAATAATGTTCTCATATTTAGGAAATAAACTTTTATTTCACTCCGTCCGATATTCCAGAAAGTCACTATTCTTCTCACATAGTTTTCGTCTCCGATCCACACGGAGTAAGGTAATTTAATTCAAGGTCCCATCTCTTTATAGAAATTCTGAAATATTTAAGACATGGTTTTATAGACACTCATTTGAATTAATTTTGACATTTAGATATTGCGTGATAGGCAACTGCTGACACTGACAATATTTCCGTTTGGATAAAAAAATATTACTCTTCGAATATTTTGCACTATCAACAGATACCGTACTGTGCATAGGCCTTCAGATTGTGCTTTTGAAACTTTAAAACATCCTAAAATGTGTGACAAATTTAAGAATATCTAAGGGCAAAGGCAACCATATCCACCACATTGTTCTTTAATGTAACAAGCTATGCTATTTCAGTCGACCCTAACCGAAATCAGCTCGCTGTCAGATTGTTTACATTGTGTCACGGCTTTCTCGCCCGTCTTTTTCAGGTTTATGGTGTACCAACTCAATGCCAAGTAGTGACTAAACACGTTAAGCAAAAACAGTTTTGTAGTTACAAGAATTGTCCGTGTTTATAACACTTACAAAATCCTAAACTGCTATTTGTTGTCATCTATTGGATATGATTTTGCACATGCACATGTGCGAAAGTGTGTAAATTCGTGCAAATTCTCACCTTCGAGCAGACGTAGGTTTCGTGAACGACGGTGCCGACATGTAACTGCTCGTGAGGCCTATCGCATTCCTTGATGCGCCTCAGATCTTTTGTCTTGATCGTAATGGTTTTAAGGTACACATCGAATCGCAGCAATATGTAATAGATATAACGAGTCTGAATGGTATAATTCGAAGCACATTGCTTCTGAGGCATCGTTTGACCCCGGAAATATGTCTGACAAATCTACAAAGCCCGCCAGCTTGATGATTGGCCAAAATTGACGCATGCGCCAGTTTTGATTGACAGACTGGATCAGTCTATTCTAAAGCGACCCTTGTATGTATTCCTCACTTTACATGACGGAGACGGGCCCCTCTGATTGGTTGAAATGTCGTTCGCGGGAAAGAATTGTGCACTGTTGTCAAAAAGGTTGATTTAAGTTAATTAAAGATCGAAAGGAGTAGTTTTAATGACATGGTTTCATTTATAACGATGCCAATTAGTGATTTATGTATTTGTACCCCCTAGAGTATATGTGATCTTTAAGCTACTGAATACAGACATCTCACTTGATCCCACTGCTATACTACTGAATATACACAAGCATACTACGGACATTATATTACTCACACAGTCAGGCCATGGTCAAGTGTCTCCTCTCTGGGGCGGTCAGGTCTGGTCTTGGCTGATCTGGCCTGGTCAAGCTGGTCAATGTACAAAAACGTAGCTGCTGTCTTCCTTGGACTGTGAACCAGTGCCTTGAGAATGCGGTCTGCTTGGTCGTACTGACCTCTGTCCAGGTAGTGTTTTGCCATCGTGTTGTGTACCCATGTCAGGCACTCACTCATCCGACCTTGAGAGGTCAGGGCATCAACTGTAACATCAACGTAGGATGATCAACATGTGGATGGGAGACTTTGACAAGCCTATTCTAAGTAACTGCTGTTATCTGTCAGGACTAGATGTGTGTACGTACATACAGTCCAGTAGGGGGAAGTGGCATCTTCATACTTCCCCTGGTGCAGGTAGCCATTGACGAGGTTCTCCAGGCAGTTACGGTACTCCTTGCTTTCAATGCCGTAACTGTTCACCTGAAACACACACCACACACATAAATACACATGAACACACATGAAAACACACATCACAAACATGAAAACACACTTGAATACACATGAATACAGAAACCACACACATGAATACAAACATAACACACATGAATACACAACACACATGGATACACACATCAGTTCATACACTCCTCCATACAGTCTTGAACATATGCAGTGGAACACAGTGATGAAGAGTACCTGATAGATGTGAATGGCCTTGAGTGTGTACTCCTCCACCCGAGTCCAGTCTTTGCGAGCACCCTCCAGCGTTCCCAGGTTCAAGTAGGCTGTGGCCAGGGTAGGGTGCTCTCCACCAACTGACTTGGCCTTCACCTCCACTGACCTGGGTAGAACAGCAGTGGCATCAGTCACTTGATGTGTCAGACCATATACCATGGCAATAGCTCTCCAACAATATTTCAGTACAATCGGAACCAATTAGTATGTACAACTGGTGCTCGGTATTGGTGTACCTTATTGAAGTAGGGCTTCACTATGTGCTACTGGTGCTAGATACTGGTGTAACGTATTGAAGTAGTACTTCACTGTATGCTACTGGTGCTAGATACTGGAGTAACGTATTGAAGTAGTACTTCACTGTATGCTACTGGTGCTAGATACTGGTGTAACGTATTGAAGTAGTACTTCACTGTATGCTACTGGTGCTAGATACTGGTGTAACGTATTGAAGTAGTACTTCACTGTATGCTACTGATGCTAGATACTGGTGTAACGTATTGAAGTAGGGCTTCACTATGTGCTACTGGTGCTAGATACTGGTGTAACGTATTGAAGTAGTACTTCACTGTATGCTATTGTTGCTAGATACTGGAGTAACGTATTGAAGTAGTACTTCACTGTATGCTACTGGTGCTAGATACTGGAGTAACGTATTGAAGTAGTACTTCACTGTGTGCTACTGATTCTAGATACTGGTGTAAGGTATTGAAGTAGTACTTCACTGTATGCTACTGGTGCTAGATACTGGAGTAACGTATTGAAGTAGTACTTCACTGTATGCTATTGTTGCTAGATACTGGTGTAACGTATTAAAGTAGTACTTCACTGTATGCTACTGGTGCTAGATACTGGTGTAACGTATTGAAGTAGTACTTCACTGTATGCTATTGTTGCTAGATACTGGAGTAACGTATTGAAGTAGTACTTCACTGTATGCTATTGTTGCTAGATACTGGAGTAACGTATTGAAGTAGTACTTCACTGTATGCTATTGTTGTTAGATACTGGAGTAACGTATTGAAGTAGTACTTCACTGTATGCTATTGTTGTTAGATACTGGAGTAACGTATTGAAGTAGTACTTCACTGTATGCTACTGTTGCTAGATACTGGAGTAACGTATTGAAGTAGTACTTCACTGTATGCTACTGGTGCTAGATACTGGAGTAACGTATTGAAGTAGTACTTCACTGTGTGCTACTGATTCTAGATACTGGTGTAATGTATTGAAGTAGTACTTCACTGTATGCTACTGGTGCTAGATACTGGTGTAACGTATTGAAGTAGTACTTCACTGTATGCTACCTTTGCTAGATACTGGTGTAATGTATTGAAGTAGTACTTCACTGTATGCTACTGTTGCTAGATACTGGTGTAACCTATTGACGTAGTACTTCACTGTATGCTACTGGTGCTAGATACTGGAGTAACGTATTGAAGTAGTACTTCACTGTATGCTATTGTTGTTAGATACTGGAGTAACGTATTGAAGTAGTACTTCACTGTATGCTACTGTTGCTAGATACTGGAGTAACGTATTGAAGTAGTACTTCACTGTATGCTATTGTTGTTAGATACTGGAGTAACGTATTGAAGTAGTACTTCACTGTATGCTACTGTTGCTAGATACTGGAGTAACGTATTGAAGTAGTACTTCACTGTATGCTACTGGTGCTAGATACTGGAGTAACGTATTGAAGTAGTACTTCACTGTGTGCTACTGATTCTAGATACTGGTGTAATGTATTGAAGTAGTGCTTCACTGTATGCTACTGGTGCTAGATACTGGTGTAACGTATTGAACCTATTGTAGTACTTCACTGTATGTATGCTACTGGTGCTGAAGATACTGGAGTAACGTATTGAAGTAGTACTTCACTGTATGCTACTGATTCTAGATACTGGTGTAATGTATTGAAGTAGTACTTCACTGTATGCTACTGGTGCTAGATACTGGTGTAACGATATTGAAGTAGTACTTCACTGTATGCTACTGGTGCTAGATACTGGTGTAACCTATTGACGTAGTACTTCACTGTATGCTACTGGTGCTAGATACTGGTGTAACCTATTGACGTAGTACTTTACTGTATGCTACTGGTGCTAGATACTGGTGTAACCTATTGACGTAGTACTTTACTGTATGCTACTGGTGCTAGATACTGGAGTAACGTATTGAAGTAGTACTTCACTGTGTGCTACTGATTCTAGATACTGGTGTAATGTATTGAAGTAGTACTTCACTGTATGCTACTGGTGCTAGATACTGGTGTAACGTATTGAAGTAGTACTTCACTGTATGCTACCTTTGCTAGATACTGGTGTAATGTATTGAAGTAGTACTTCACTGTATGCTACTGATTCTAGATACTGGTGTAACGTATTGAAGTAGTACTTCACTGTATGCTACTGGTGCTAGATACTGGTGTAACGTATTGAAGTAGTACTTCACTGTATGCTACTGGTGCTAGATACTGGTGTAACCTATTGACGTAGTACTTTACTGTATGCTACTGGTGCTAGATACTGGTGTAACCTATTGACGTAGTACTTTACTGTATGCTACTGGTGCTAGATACTGGAGTAACGTATTGAAGTAGTACTTCACTGTATGCTACTGTTGCTAGATACTGGTGTAACCTATTGACGTAGTACTTCACTGTATGCTACTGGTGCTAGATACTGGAGTAACGTATTGAAGTAGTACTTCACTGTATGCTATTGTTGTTAGATACTGGAGTAACGTATTGAAGTAGTACTTCACTGTATGCTACTGTTGCTAGATACTGGAGTAACGTATTGAAGTAGTACTTCACTGTATGCTATTGTTGTTAGATACTGGAGTAACGTATTGAAGTAGTACTTCACTGTATGCTACTGTTGCTAGATACTGGAGTAACGTATTGAAGTAGTACTTCACTGTATGCTACTGGTGCTAGATACTGGAGTAACGTATTGAAGTAGTACTTCACTGTGTGCTACTGATTCTAGATACTGGTGTAATGTATTGAAGTAGTGCTTCACTGTATGCTACTGGTGCTAGATACTGGTGTAACGTATTGAAGTAGTACTTCACAGTATGCTACTGGTGCTAGATACTGGAGTAACGTATTGAAGTAGTACTTCACTGTATGCTACTGATTCTAGATACTGGTGTAACGTATTGAAGTAGTACTTCACTGTATGCTACTGGTGCTAGATACTGGTGTAACGTATTGAAGTAGTACTTCACTGTATGCTACTGGTGCTAGATACTGGTGTAACCTATTGACGTAGTACTTCACTGTATGCTACTGGTGCTAGATACTGGTGTAACCTATTGACGTAGTACTTTACTGTATGCTACTGGTGCTAGATACTGGTGTAACCTATTGACGTTCAATGCTAGTACTTTACTGTATGCTACTGGTGCTAGATACTGGAGTAGCGTGCGATATTGAAGTAGTACTTCACTGTGTGCTACTGATTCTAGATACTGGTGTAATGTATTGAAGTAGTACTTCACTGTATGCTACTGGTGCTAGATACTGGTGTAACGTATTGAAGTAGTACTTCACTGTATGCTACCTTTGCTAGATACTGGTGTAATGTATTGAAGTAGTACTTCACTGTATGCTACTGATTCTAAGATACTGGTGTAGCGTGTTGAGTAGTACTTCACTGTATGCTACTGGTGCTAGATACTGGTGTAGCGTGTTGAAGTAGTACTTCACTGTATGCTACTGGTGCTAGATACTGGAACCTAACTTTACTGTGTTGAAGTAGTACTTCACTGTATGCTACTGGTGCTAGATACTGGTGTAACCTATTGACGTAGTACTTCACTGTATGCTACTGGTGCTAGATACTGGTGTAACCTATTGACGTAGTACTTTACTGTATGCTACTGGTGCTAGATACTGGTGTAACCTATTGACGTAGTACTTTACTGTATGCTACTGGTGCTAGATACTGGAGTAACGTATTGAAGTAGTACTTCACTGTGTGCTACTGATTCTAGATACTGGTGTAATGTATTGAAGTAGTACTTCACTGTATGCTACTGGTGCTTCTAGAATACTGGTGTGTAGCGGTATTGAGTAGTACTTCACTGTATGCTACCTTTGCTAGATACTGGTGTAATGTATTGAAGTAGTACTTCACTGTATGCTACTGATTCTAGATACTGGTGTAACGTATTGAAGTAGTACTTCACTGTATGCTACTGGTGCTAGATACTGGTGTAACGTATTGAAGTAGTACTTCACTGTATGCTACTGGTGCTAGATACTGGTGTAACCTATTGACGTAGTACTTCACTGTATGCTACTGGTGCTAGATACTGGTGTAACCTATTGATGCTACTGTACTTTACTGTATGCTACTGGTGCTGAGATGCTGGTGTAACCTATTGACGTAGTACTTCACTGTATGCTACTGGTGCTAGATACTGGTGTAACCTATTGACGTAGTACTTTACTGTATGCTACTGGTGCTAGATACTGGTGTAACCTATTGACGTAGTACTTTACTGTATGCTACTGGTGCTAGATACTGGAGTAACGTATTGAAGTAGTACTTCACTGTGTGCTACTGATTCTAGATACTGGTGTAATGTATTGAAGTAGTACTTCACTGTATGCTACTGGTGCTAGATACTGGTGTAATGTATTGAAGTAGTACTTCACTGTATGCTACCTTTGCTAGATACTGGTGTAATGTATTGAAGTAGTACTTCACTGTATGCTACTGTTGCTAGATACTGGAGTAACCTATTGGTAATTCACTGTGTTGAAGTAGTACTTCATTTACTGTATGCTACTGGTGCTAGATACTGGTGTAACGTATTGAAGTAGTACTTCACTGTATGCTACTGGTGCTAGATACTGGAGTAACATATTGAAGTAGTACTTCACTGTGTGCTACTGATTCTAGATACTGGTGTAATGTATTGAAGTAGTGCTTCACTGTATGCTACTGGTGCTAGATACTGGAGTAATGTATTGAAGTAGTACTTCACAGTATGCTACTAGTGCTAGATACTGGTGTAACGTATTGAAGTAGTACTTCACTGTATGCTACTGGTGCTAGATACTGGTGTAACCTATTGACGTAGTACTTTACTGTATGCTACTGGTGCTAGATACTGGTGTAACCTATTGACGTAGTACTTTACTGTATGCTACTGGTGCTAGATACTGGAGTAGCGTATTGAAGTAGTACTTCACTGTGTGCTACTGATTCTAGATACTGGTGTAATGTATTGAAGTAGTACTTCACTGTATGCTACTGGTGCTAGATACTGGTGTAATGTATTGAAGTAGTACTTCACTGTATGCTACCTTTGCTAGATACTGGTGTAATGTATTGAAGTAGTACTTCACTGTATGCTACTGTTGCTAGATACTGGAGTAACGTATTGAAGTAGTACTTCATTGTATGCTACTGGTGCTAGATACTGGTGTAACGTATTGAAGTAGTACTTCACTGTATGCTACTGGTGCTAGATACTGGAGTAACATATTGAAGTAGTACTTCACTGTGTGCTACTGATTCTAGATACTGGTGTAATGTATTGAAGTAGTGCTTCACTGTATGCTACTGGTGCTAGATACTGGAGTAATGTATTGAAGTAGTACTTCACAGTATGCTACTAGTGCTAGATACTGGTGTAACGTATTGAAGTAGTACTTCACTGTATGCTACTGGTGCTAGATACTGGTGTAACCTATTGACGTAGTACTTTACTGTATGCTACTGGTGCTAGATACTGGTGTAACCTATTGACGTAGTACTTTACTGTATGCTACTGGTGCTAGATACTGGAGTAACGTATTGAAGTAGTACTTCACTGTATGCTACTGATTCTAGATACTGGTGTAATGTATTGAAGTAGTACTTCACTGTATGCTACTGGTGCTAGATACTGGTGTAACGTATTGAAGTAGTACTTCACTGTATGCTACCTTTGCTAGATACTGGTGTAATGTATTGAAGTAGTACTTCACTGTATGCTACTGTTGCTAGATACTGGAGTAACGTATTGAAGTAGTACTTCATTGTATGCTACTGGTGCTAGATACTGGTGTAACGTATTGAAGTAGTACTTCACTGTATGCTACTGGTGCTAGATACTGCTGTAACTACTGGTTGCTGATACTGGATGTAACGTATTGTACTTCACTGTATGCTACTGGTGCTAGATACTGGAGTAACATATTGAAGTAGTACTTCACTGTGTGCTACTGATTCTAGATACTGGTGTAATGTATTGAAGTAGTGCTTCACTGTATGCTACTGGTGCTAGATACTGGAGTAATGTATTGAAGTAGTACTTCACAGTATGCTACTAGTGCTAGATACTGGAGTAACGTATTGAAGTAGTACTTCACTGTATGCTACTGATTCTAGATACTGGTGTAACGTATTGAAGTAGTACTTCACTGTATGCTACTGGTGCTAGATACTGGTGTAACGTATTGAAGTAGTACTTCACTGTATGCTACTGGTGCTAGATACTGGTGTAACCTATTGACGTAGTACTTTACTGTATGCTACTGGTGCTAGATACTGGTGTAACTTACTGGAAATAGTACTTCTCTGCCAAGTCGAGTTGATTCATGTGTTTGTAGGCGAGACCCAAGTTCGTGTACAGGTTCCCAATGGTGTGTGGGACAGAGTCATAGTGGACAGCTTCATACAACTGAAAGAACTCAATGCATTGTTGACTCCTGCCCAAATGCAGGGACTCTCAGTGGCAACACGTAACTACCTCTCTGACAACACTTAAGTTACCACCTTCCTTAACAACAAATCAGAAATCCAACACCAACCATCCTCTCTGACATGATACTAGTGGTGTCCCGATTAATTGAAATAATCCAAGATTTTCAGTTAGATTCCAAAAATATATAGTACTGACAGTAACTTTCCTGCTAAATAAGATATTTCAATAACCAAATTTTAATCTGTAATAAAGTATATCTTCTGGGGATCTTTGTTTCGGTTGACGCTTTTTCAAAACTTTTTTCTGCTTCAATGCACGAACTGACAAGAATGTTATCCTCATTGGAAGAAAACGCAGCAAAACCCTCGTTTGGAAGTTGAGCAGAGCATATCAAATCGTCATCATCCAACAAAGTTTCAAGAGAGATGTCTTCACCTTCCATTGCGTCAGTGACAATGTCGCCTTTCGTGGAGTACACGTGCAATACATGACACATGCGCTCTACGAGCTACTGCTTACCGTAGTTTCTGTCTTGTATGCTACTCAATTCGCTCTTTTAAAAGACGAAAAGGCCCTTGCCGATTAGGAACGTTTATTACAGGAAATTTGGTAGCTTATGAGAGCGTGATGTGGCTTAGTGTACGGCCAAGACAAAATAGTTTGCCGCCTTTTTTACATTTTACTTGTTGTTTTGCTCAAATATCTATTGTTTATACATTTTTGTCGTAATAGTCATGGTATAAGTAAGTTATACGACTCGTATCTGCAGTTTAATCCACGAACTGGTTGGTTATACTACTGGCCGTGGATAAAACTGCACATACTCGTCGTATAACTTACACATCTACCACCCAGCTAGATACTGGTATAACTACCACCCAGCTAGATACTGGTATAACTACCACCCAGCTAGATACTGGTATAACTACCACCCAGCTAGATACTGGTATAACTACCACCCAGCTAGATACTGGTATAATTACCACCCAGCTAGATACTGGTATAACTACCACCCAGTGAGATACTGGTATAACTACCACCCAGTGAGATACTGGTATAACTACCACCCAGTGAGATACTGGTATAACTACCACCCAGCTAGATACTGTTATAACTACCACCCAGCTAGATACTGTTATAACTACCACCCAGCTAGATACTGGTATAACTACCACCCAGTGAGATACTGGTATAACTACCACCCAGCTAGATACTGGTATAACTACCACCCAGTGAGATACTGGTATAACTACCACCCAGCTAGATACTGGTATAACTACCACCCAGTGAGATACTGGTATAACTACCACCCAGCTAGATACTGGTATAACTACCACCCAGCTAGATACTGGTATAACTACCACCCAGCTAGATACTGGTATAACTACCACCCACCTAGATACTGGTATAACTACCACCCAGCTAGATACTGGTATAACTACCACCCAGCTAGATACTGGTATAACTACCACCCAGTGAGATACTCGTATAACTACCACCCAGTGATATACCGGTATAACTACCACCCAGTGATATACCGGTATAACTACCACCCAGTGATATACCGGCATAACTACCACCCAGTGAGATACTGTTACAACTACCACCCAGTGAGATACTCATATATCTAGCACACAGTTAGATGCTGGTATAACTACCACCCAGTGATATACCGGTATAACTACAACCCAGTTAGACACTGGTATATCTACCACCCAGTGATATACCGGTATAACTACCACCCAGTTAGATACTGGTATAACTACCACACAGTGATATACCGGTATAACTACCACCCAGTGAGAAACTGTTATAACTACCACCCAGTGAAATACTGGTATAACTACCACCCAGTGAGATACTGGTATAACTACAACCCAGTGAGATATTTGTATATATAGCACCCAGTGAAATACTGGTATACCTACCACCCAGTTAGATACTGGTATAACTACCACCCAGTGATATACCAGTATAACTACAACCCAGTGAGATATTTGTATATATAGCACCCAGTGAAATACTGGTATACCTACCACCGAGTTAGATACTGGTATAACTACCACCCAGTGAGATTCCAGTGTAACTACGACCTAGTGAGATGGCCTGACAGGTCACCTTGAGAGCAGCAAGGAACTCTTCTACAGCCTTCTTGGGGTTGTCTGTCCTCAGCTGCACCAGGCCCAGGTTCACCAGGCAGTCCGCCTCATTCAACTTGTTGCCATGTTTCTTGTGGTAGCTTTCAGACTCTCTCATTTGGGGCTCAGCCTTGAATGAACATGATCTGAACAGACAGGGCACATGGTACCTAATGTCTACAGATCTAGAGTGTAGGGCACATGGTAGCCTGTAATGTCTACATGATCTAGAGAGTAGGGCACATGATAGCCTGTAATGTCTACATGATCTAGAGTATAGGGCACATGGTAGCCTGTAATGTCTACATGATCTAGAGTAGTAGGGCACATGGTAGCCTGTAATGTCTACACTGTAATGTCCACTGATCTAGAGAGTATAGGGCACATGGTAGCCTGTAATGTCTACATGATCTAGAGAGTAGGGCACATGGTAGCCTGTAATGTCTACATGATCTAGAGAGTAGGGCACATGAGTAGCCTGTAATGTCCTGTAATGTCTACATGATCTAGAGGTAGCCTGTAGGATCTAGCACATGGTAGCCTGTAATGTCTACATGATCTACATGATCTAGAGTAGGGCACATGGTAGCCTGTAATGTCTACATGATCTAGAGAGTAGGGCACATGATAGCCTGTAATGTCTACACATGATCTACATGATCTAGAGAGTAGGGCACATGGTAGCCTGTAATGTCTACATGATCTAGAGTATAGGGCACATGATAGCCTGTAATGTCTACATGATCTAGAGTAATGTCTACATGGGCACATGATAGCCTGTAATGTCTACATGATCTAGAGAGTAGGGCACATGGTAGCCTGTAATGTCTACATGATCTGTAGGGCATGTGTAATGTCTACATGATCATGATCTGTAATGTCTAGAGTAGCCTGTAATGTCTACATGATCAGAGTATAGGGCACATGGTAGCCTGTAATGTCTACATGATCTAGAGAGTAGGGCACATGGTAGCCTGTAATGTCTACATGATCTAGAGAGTAGGGCACATGATAGCCTGTAATGTCTACATGATCTAGAGAGTAGGGCACATGGTAGCCTGTAATGTCTACATGATCTAGAGAGTAGGGCACATGATAGCCTGTAATGTCTACATGATCTAGAGAGTAGGGCACATGATAGCCTGTAATGTCTACATGATCTAGAGAGTAGGGCACATGATAGCCTGTAATGTCTACATGATCTAGAGTATAGGACACATGGTAGCCTGTAATGTCTACATGATCTAGAGCGTTGGGTAGGCTGGTTATAATGTCAATCAATGGTGCCTGCTGTGTACCTCTGCATACTGCTGCTGCTGGAAGTGAACCAAACCACGTCCATTCAGAGCCCAGGCCAGTTTAGTCTCAGCTTGTTTAATGTCCACTACTCCACTGGCAATTGTGCTGGAAAAGAGTTTTCATGTCTGTTATACAGCTTTAAACAAATTCAAGTGAAGACGCTTTGCTTATGAAATGCACCAAATTAGATGTTGTTATTTGCTCTATTTAACGTCGCACGCACAACTAAGTTATTTCGGCGACGAGGTAGTACACTTATTAAGAAATGAGGGGGAACTAAAAATAGAAAGTTTGAAAGAGTGGTGTTACTACCCAGAAAAAGCGCCAAAAAAAACAAAAAAGCAACTGAGTATTAAGGGAAATTTGAATGGGAGGCCGAATTAAATAGGTGAAATATATGAAATAGGTAAAGAGTAATAGAGATTTGGAATTTAATATAGATGTAGTGTAATAAATGGTTATTGTTATTGAATTATTGTTACCAAATTAGAAACCTTCCAAAGAAATATATATGTCATGTCCAATTCCCGGAAGTGCCCATTCTGTGGGTTGGAGCAAGAGTGTTACCCAGTCCCGTGAATGGATGGTGGCTTGCTCAAATTCGCTGATTGGCCAGCTAATCCGTTAATGACTGCTCATTCCTTGGGATTGGATGATAACATACACATGCTGATTGACTGTGTTGTTGTGCTGTGAACTTTGCTTGGTCTGTTTATTTTGCTATGTATTTGACATTTCTTTTACAATAATTGCAGACCATGGTGCAAAAAGCAATATTTGACAGTTTGGTGAAAACAAACACCTGAGTTATTTTCGAAGAAGACTATAGCAAAATAATAGAAGTAATTTGAGCGGTGTGAGCAAAACATTCTGAAAATGGATGATGTGAAAAGAAGTGAGGAAATGTCAGTGAGAGCAGCTGCAAGACAGGACAGTGTTGGCACCGGCCAGAGCTACAACACATGTATGGTAATGGACAGTGTTGGCACCGGCTAGGGCTACAACACATGTATGGTAATGGGCAGTGTTGGCACCGGCCAGGGCTACAACACATGTATGGTAATGGGCAGTGTTGGCACCGGCCAGGGCTACAACACATGTATGGTAATGGACAGTGTTGGCACCGGCTAGGGCTACAACACATGTATGGTAATGGACAGTGTTGGCACCGAGTGGGCTACAACACATGTATGGTAATGGGCAGTGTTGGCATCTGCCAGGGCTACAACACATGTATGGTAATGGACAGTGTTGGCACCGGCCAGGGCTACAACACATGTATGGTAATGGACAGTGTTGGCACCGGAGAGGGCTACAAAACATCTATGATAATAGACAGTGTTGGCACCGGCCAGGGCTACAACACATATATGGTAATGGACAGTGTTGGCAACGTTCCAGGGCTACAACACATATATGGTAATGGACAGTGTTGGCACAGGCCAGGGCTACAACACATATATGGTAATGGACACTGTTGGCATCGGCCAGGGCTACAACACATATATGGTAATGGACAGTGCTGGCACCATCCAGGGCTACAACACATATATGGTAATGGACAGTGTTGGCACGGGCCAGGGCTACAACACATGAATGGTAATGGGCAGTGTTGGCATCGGCCAGGGCTACAACACATATATGGTAATGGACAGTGTTGGCACCATCCAGGGCTACAACACATATATGGTAATGGACAGTGTTGGCACGGGCCAGGGCTACAACACATGTATGGTAATGGACAGTGTTGGCAACGGAGGGGGCTACAAAACATCTATGATAATGGACAGTGTTGGCACCGGCCAGGGCTACAACACATGAATGGTCATGGGCAGGGTTGGCTCCGGAGAGGGCTACAACACATGTATAGTAATGGACAGTGTTGGCACGGGCCAGGGCTACAACACATGTATGGCAATGGACAGTGTTGGCACCGGCCAGGGCTACAACACATGTATGGCAATGGACAGTGTTGGCATCGGCCAGGGCTACAACACATGTATGGTAATGGACAGTGTTGGCACCGGAGAGGGCTACAAAACATCTATGATAATGGACAGTGTTGGCACCGGCCAGGGCTACAAAACATGTATGGTCATGGGCAGTGTTGGCTCCGGAGAGGGCTACAACACATGTATGGTAATGGACAGTGTTGGCACCGCCAGGGCTACAAACTACATGTATGGTAATGGACAGTGTTGGCATCGGCCAGGGCTACAACACATGTATGGTAATGGACAGTGTTGGCACCGGCCAGGGCTACAACACACGTATGGTAATGGGCAGTGTTGGCATCAGCCAGGGCTACAACACATATGTATGGTATGGACAGTGTTGGCACCATCCAGGGCTACAACACATGTATGGTAATGGACAGTGTTGGCACGGCCAGGGCTACAACACATGTATGGTAATGGACAGTGTTGGCACCGGAGAGGGCTACAAAACATCTATGATAATGGACAGTGTTGGCATCTGCCAGGGCTACAAACCATTATGTATGGTAATGGACAGTGTTGGCACCGGCCAGGGCTACAACACACATGTATGGTAATGGACAGTGTTGGCATCGGCCAGGGCTACAACACATCTATGATAATGAACAGTGTTGGCACCGGCCAGGGCTACAAACACATACTTATGGTAATGGACAGTGTTGGCACCATCCAGGGCTACAAACACATGTATGGTAATGGACAGTGTTGGCACAGGCTGTGGCCACAACACATGTATGGTAATGGACAGTGTTGGCATCGCCAGGGCTACAACACATGTATGGTAATGGACAGTGCTGGCACCATCCAGGGCTACAACACATATATGGTAATGGACAGTGTTGGCATCACGGGCCAGGGCTACAACACATGAATGGTAATGGACAGTGTTGGCACCGGCCAGGGCTACAAACACATATATGGTAATGGACAGTGCTGGGCACCGCCAGGGCCACAAACACATATATGGTAATGGACAGTGTTGGCACCAGGCCAGGGCTACAACACATGTATGGTAATGGACAGTGTTGGCACCGGAGAGGGCTACAAAACATCTATGATAATGGACAGTGTTGGCACCGGCCAGGGCTACAAAACATGTATGGTCATGGGCAGTGTTGGCTCGAGAGGGGGCCACAACACATATATAGTAATGGACAGTGTTGGCACCGACCAGGGCTACAACACATGTATGGCAATAGTGTTGGCACGGCCAGAACTACAACCACATGTATGGCAATGGACCAGTGTTGGCATCGTGGGCTACAACAGTATGTATGGTAATGGGACAGTGTTGGCACCGGAGAGGGCCTACAAAACATCTATGATAATGGACAGGTGTTGGCACCGGCCAGGGGCTACAAAACACATGTATGGTCATGGGCAGTGTTGGCTCGGAGGAGGGCTACAACACATGTGTTGATGGTAATGGACAGTGTTGGCACGGCCAGGGCTACAACACATGTATGGTAATGGACAGTGTTGGCATCGGCCAGGGCTACAACACATGTATGGTAATGGACAGTGTTGGCACCGGTCAGGGCTACAACACATGAATGGTAATGGGCAGTGTTGGCATCAGCCAGGGCTACAACACATATATGGTAATGGACAGTGTTGGCACCATCCAGGGCTACAACACATATATGGTAATGGACAGTGTTGGCACGGGCCAGGGCTACAACACATGTATGGTAATGGACAGTGTTGGCACCGGAGAGGGCTACAAAACATCTATGATAATGGACAGTGTTGGCACCGGCCAGGGCTACAACACATGTATGGCAATGGACAGTGTTGGCACCGGCCAGGGCTACAACACATGTATGGTAATGGACAGTGTTGGCATCGGCCAGGGCTACAACACATGTATGGTAATGGACAGTGTTGGCACCGGAGAGGGCTACAAAACATCTATGATAATGGACAGTGTTGGCACCGGCCAGGGCTACAACACATGTATGGCAATGGACAGTGTTGGCACCGGCCAGGGCTACAACACATGTATGGTAATGGACAGTGTTGGCACCGGCCAGGGCTACAACACATGTATGGTAATGGACAGTGTTGGCATCGGCCAGGGCTACAACACATGAATGGTCATGGGCAGGGTTGGCTCCGGAGAGGGCTACAACACATGTATAGCAATGGACAGTGTTGGCACCGGCCAGGGCTACAACACATGTATGGCAATGGACAGTGTTGGCACCGGCCAGGGCTACAACACATGTATGGCAATGGACAGTGTTGGCATCTGCCAGGGCTACAACACATGTATGGTAATGGACAGTGTTGGCACCGGAGAGGGCTATAAAACATCTATGATAATGGGCAGTGTTGGCACCGGCCAGGGCTACAACACATATATGGTAATGGACAGTGTTGGCACCATCCAGGGCTACAACACATATATGGTAATGGACAGTGTTGGCACGGGCCAGGGCTACAACACATGTATGGTAATGGACAGTGTTGGCACCGGAGAGGGCTACAAAACATCTATGATAATGGACAGTGTTGGCACCGGCCAGGGCTACAACACATGAATGGTCATGGGCAGGGTTGGCTCCGGAGAGGGCTACAACACATGTATAGTAATGGACAGTGTTGGCACCGGCCAGGGCTACAACACATGTATGGCAATGGACAGTGTTGGCACCGGCCAGGGCTACAACACATGTATGGCAATGGACAGTGTTGGCATCGGCCAGGGCTACAACACATGTATGGTAATGGACAGTGTTGGCACCGGAGAGGGCTACAAAACATCTATGATAATGGACAGTGTTGGCACCGGCCAGGGCTACAAAACATGTATGGTCATGGGCAGTGTTGGCTCCGGAGAGGGCTACAACACATATATGGTAATGGACAGTGTTGGCACCGGCCAGGGCTACAACACATGTATGGTAATGGACAGTGTTGGCATCGGCCAGGGCTACAACACATGTATGGTAATGGACAGTGTTGGCACCGGTCAGGGCTACAACACATGAATGGTAATGGGCAGTGTTGGCATCAGCCAGGGCTACAACACATATATGGTAATGGACAGTGTTGGCACCATCCAGGGCTACAACACATATATGGTAATGGACAGTGTTGGCACCGGCCAGGGCTACAACACATGTATGGTAATGGACAGTGTTGGCACCGGAGAGGGCTACAAAACATCTATGATAATGGACAGTGTTGGCACCGGCCAGGGCTACAACACATGTATGGCAATGGACAGTGTTGGCACCGGCCAGGGCTACAACACATGTATGGTAATGGACAGTGTTGGCATCGGCCAGGGCTACAACACATGTATGGTAATGGACAGTGTTGGCACCGGAGAGGGCTACAAAACATCTATGATAATGGACAGTGTTGGCACCGGCCAGGGCTACAACACATGTATGGCAATGGACAGTGTTGGCACCGGCCAGGGCTACAACACATGTATGGTAATGGACAGTGTTGGCACGGCCAGGGCTACAACACATGTATGGTAATGGACAGTGTTGGCATCGACCAGGGCTACACACATGAATGGTCATGGGCAGGGTTGGCTCCGGAGGGCTACAACACATATAGCATGTATGGCAATGGGGCTACAACACATGTATGGCAATGGACAGTGCTGGCACCGGCCATGCTACAAACACATGTATGGGACAGTGTTGGCATCTGCCAGGGCTACAACACATGTATGGTAATGGACAGTGTTGGCACCGGAGGGCTATAAAACATCTATGATAATGGACAGTGTTGGCACCGCCAGGGCTACAAAACAGGTATGGTCATGGGCAGTGTTGGCTCAGGAGGGCTACAACACATGTATGTAATGGACAGTGGCTCACCGGCCAGGGCTACAACACATGTATGATAATGGACAGTGTTGGCACCGGCCAGGGCTACAACACATGTATCGCAATGGGCAGTGTTGGCACTGGCCAGGGCTACAGCACATGTATGGTAATGGACAGTGTTGGCACCGGAGAGGGCTACAAAACATCTATGATAATGGACAGTGTTGGCACCGGCCAGGGCTACAAAACATGTATGGTCATGGGCAGTGTTGGCTCCGGAGGGCTACAACACATGTATGGTAATGGACAGTGTTGGCACCGGCCAGGGCTACAACACATGTATGGTAATGGACAGTGTTGGCATCGGCCAGGGCTACAACACATGTATGGTAATGGACAGTGTTGGCACCGGAGAGGGCTACAAAACATCTATGATAATGGACGAGTGTTGGCACCGGCCAGGGCTACAACACATGTATGGCAATGGACAGTGTTGGCACCGGCCAGGGCTACAACACATGTATGGTAATGGACAGTGTTGGCATCGGCCAGGGCTACAACACATGAATGGTCATGGGCAGGGTTGGCTCCGGAGAGGGCTACAACACATGTATAGCAATGGACAGTGTTGGCACCGGCCAGGGCTACAACACATGTATGGCAATGGACAGTGTTGGCACCGGCCAGGGCTACAACACATGTATGGCAATGGACAGTGTTGGCATCGGCCAGGGCTACAACACATGTATGGTAATGGACAGTGTTGGCACCGGCCAGGGCTACAAAACATGTATGATAATGGACAGTGTTGGCACCGGCCAGGGCTACAACACATGTATGGCAATGGGCAGTGTTGGCACTGGCCAGGGCTACAACACATGTATGGTAATGGACAGTGTTGGCACCGGCCAGGGCTACAACACATGTATGGTAATGGACAGTGTTGGCACCGGAGAGGGCTACAAAACATCTATGATAATGGACAGTGTTGGCACCGGCCAGTGCTACAACACATGTATGGCAATGGACAGTGTTGGCACCGGCCAGGGCTACAACACATGTATGGTAATGGACAGTGTTGGCACCGGCCAGGGCTACAACACATGTATGGTCATGGACAGTGTTGGCATCGGCCAGGGCTACAACACATGTATGATAATGGACAGTGTTGGCACCGGCCAGGGCTACAACACATGTATGGCAATGGACAGTGTTGGCACCGGAGAGGGCTACAACACATGTATGGCAATCGACAGTGTTGGCACCGGAGAGGGCTACAACACATGTATGGTAATGGACAGTGTTGGCACCGGCCAGGGCTACAACACATGTATGGTAATGGACAGTGTTGGCACCGGCCAGGGCTACAACACATATATGGTAATGGACAGTGTTGGCACCGGAGAGGGCTACAACACATGTATGGCAATGGACAGTGTTGGCACCGGAGAGGGCTACAACACATGTATGGTAATGGGCAGTGTTGGCACCGGCCAGGGCTACAACACATGTATGGTAATGGACAGTGTTGGCACCGGACAGGGCTACAACACATGTGCTGCAAAGATGTAAATAAATGCTCTAGCCATTGCCATCTTCGAAATATCAAGTGTGAAAATAAGTAGTTGTTATAATTTCAGTTTTGATGTTTGATCTTTTAATTACCTAAATGTTTTGATATGTCACAATGTATCAAGATACTGTTTTGTTACAATAACCATTAATTTCAGCTTTAAAAATAATATATATTTGAACTTTCAACTAACTAAATGTTTGGATGTGTTACATTGTATCAAGATACTGTTTTGTCAGAATAAACATTAGTCATGATGTCTCTCATTTGGATTATCTTTTAATCCCTGCCCATTGACATAGGGATAGTGCAAATTGAATCATGAATTGCCCTGTTCCTAGGAATGGGGCAGAGCGGTTGCCCAGACCCAGGAAATGAGTAATTCCAGGAATTGGGCATGACATATATCAAATGCATTGAAGTTTTCATCATTCTGTCAGGACACAACAGGAACAGTTTACTTACTCCCTCCAGTACTGGATGACCTGTGCATGTAGTGACTCTGCCTCCCTGTCATACTGACACATGACTACAGGAACAGTTTACTTACTCCCTCCAGTACTGGATGACCTGTGCATGTAGTGACTCTGCCTCCCTGTCATACTGACACATGACTACAGGAACAGTTTACTCATTCACTCCAGTACTGGATGACCTGTGCATGTAGTGACTCTGCCTCCCTGTCATACTGACACCTGACTACAGGAACAGTTTACTTACTCCCTCCAGTACTGGATGACCTGTGCATGTAGTGACTCTGCCTCCCTGTCATACTGACACATGACTACAGGAACAGTTTACTCACTCCCTCCAGTACTGGATGACCTGTGCATGTAGTGACTCTGCCTCCCTGTCATACTGACACCTGACTACAGGAACAGTTTACTTACTCCCTCCAGTACTGGATGACCTGTGCATGTAGTGACTCTGTCTCCCTGTCATACTGACACCTGACTACAGGAACAGTTTACTCACTCCCTCCAGTACTGGATGACCTGTGCATGTAGTGACTCTGTCTCCTGTCATACTGACACCTGACTACAGGAACAGTTTACTCACTCCCTCCAGTACTGGATGACCTGTGCATGTAGTGACTCTGCCTCCCTGTCATACTGACACCTGACTACAGGAACAGTTTACTCACTCCCTCCAGTACTGGATGACCTGTGCATGTAGTGACTCTGTTTCCCTGTCATACTGACACCTGACTACAGGAACAGTTTACTCACTCCCTCCAGTACTGGATGACCTGTGCATGTAGTGACTCTGCCTCCCTGTCATACTGACACCTGACTACAGGAACAGTTTACTCACTCACTCCAGTACTGGATGACCTGTGCATGTAGTGACTCTGTCTCCCTGTCATACTGACACCTGACTACAGGAACAGTTTACTTACTCCCTCCAGTACTGGATGACCTGTGCATGTAGTGCCTCTGCCTCCCTGTCATACTGACACCTGACTACAGGAACAGTTTACTCACTCCCTCCAGTACTGGATGACCTGTGCATGTAGTGACTCTGCCTCCCTGTCATACTGACACCTGACTACAGGAACAGTTTACTCACTCCCTCCAGTACTGGATGACCTGTGCATGTAGTGACTCTGTCTCTCCCTGTCATACTGACACCTGACTACAGGAACAGTTTACTCACTCCCTCCAGTACTGGATGACCTGTGCATGTAGTGACTCTGTCTCCCTGTCATACTGACACCTGACTACAGGAACAGTTTACTCACTCCCTCCAGTACTGGATGACCTGTGCATGTAGTGACTCTGTTTCCCTGTCATACTGACACCTGACTACAGGAACAGTTTACTCACTCCCTCCAGTACTGGATGACCTGTGCATGTAGTGACTCTGCCTCCCTGTCATACTGACACCTGACTACAGGAACAGTTTACTCACTCCCTCCAGTACTGGATGACCTGTGCATGTAGTGACTCTGCCTCCCTGTCATACTGACACCTGACTACAGGAACAGTTTACTCACTCACTCCAGTACTGGATGACCTGTGCATGTAGTGACTCTGTCTCCCTGTCATACTGACACCTGACTACAGGAACAGTTTACTCACTCACTCCAGTACTGGATGACCTGTGCATGTAGTGACTCTGTCTCCCTATCATACTGACACCTGACTACAGGAACAGTTTACTCACTCTCTCCAGTACTGGATGACCTGTGCATGTAGTGCCTCTGCCTCCCTGTATTCGCCCCGGTCACACAGACAACAGGCCAGGTAGTATCGATGTTCAGAAAGGAGATCTTGTCTGGCTGTCTCCTCACACTGACCCTTCAGCTTCTCCTGCAATACAACAACATAATCCAGTCTCTTCGCATTGACCCTTCAGCTTCTCCTGCAATACAACAACATAATCCAGTCTCCTCACATTGACCCTTCAGCTTCTCCTGCAATACAACAACATAATCCAGTCTCCTCACACTGACCCTTCAGCTTCTCCTGCAATACAACAACATAATCCAGTCTCCTCACATTGACCCTTCAGCTTCTCCTGCAGTACAACAACATAATCCAGTCTCTCCGCATTGACCCTTCAGTTTCTCCTGCAATACAACAACATAATCCAGTCTCTTCGCATTGACCCTTCAGTTTCTCCTGCAATACAACAACATAATCCAGTCTCCTCTCACTGACCCTTCAGTTTCTCCTGCAATACAACAACATAATCCAGTCTCTTCGGATTGACCCTTCAGTTTCTCCTGCAATACAACAACATAATCCAGTCTCTTCGCATTGACCCTTCAGCTTCTCCTGCAATACAACAACATAATCCAGTCTCTTCGCATTGACCCTTCAGTTTCTCCTCCCTGCAATACAACAACATAATCCAGCCTCTTCAAATTGACCCTTCAGCTTCTCCAGTAATACAACAACACAATCCAGTCTCCTCACACTGACCCTTCAGTTTCTCCTGCAATACAACAACATAATCCAGTCTCTTCGGATTGACCCTTCAGTTTCTCCTGCAATACAACAACATAATCCAGTCTCCTCGCATTGACCCTTCAGTTTCTCCTGCAATACAACAACATAATCCAGTCTCCTTGCACTGACCCTTCAGCTTCTCCTGCAATACAACAACACAATCCAGTCTCCTCTCACTGACCCTTCAGTTTCTCCTGCAATACAACAACACAATCCAGTCTCCTCTCACTGACCCTTCAGTTTCTCCTGCAATACAACAACACAATCCAGTCTCCTCGCACTGACCCTTCAGTTTCTCCTGCAATACAACAACACAATCCAGTCTCCTTGCACTGACCCGTCAGCTTCTCCAGTAATACAACAACATAATCCAGCCTCCTCTCACTGACCCTTCAGCTTCTCCAGCAATACAACAACACAATCCAGTCTCCTCTCACTGACCCTTCAGCTTCTCATGCAATACAACAACATAATCCAGTCTGTTCTCACTGACCCATCAGCTTCTCATGCAATACAACAACACAATCCAGTCTCCTCGCACTGACCCGTCAGCTTCTCCAGCAATACAACAACATAACCCAGTCTCCTCGCACTGACCCTTCAGCTTCTCCAGCAATACAACAACATAATCCAGTCTCCTCGCACTGACCCATCAGCTTCTCATGCAATACAACAACACAATCCAGTCTCCTTGCACTCACCCGTCAGCTTCTCCAGCCTCAATACAACAACATAATCCAGCCTCTTCGCACTGACCCTTCAGCTTCTCCTGCAATACAACAACATAATCCAGTCTCCTCGCACTGACCCTTCAGCTTCTCCAGCCTCAATACAACAATACAATCCAGCCTTCTCACACTGACCCTTCAGCTTCTCCAGCCTCAATACAACAACATAATCCAGTCTCCTCGCACTGACCCTTCAGCTTCTCCAGCCTCAATACAAAAACATAATCCACTCTCTTCGCATTGACCCTTCAGCTTCTCCAGCAATACAACAACACAATCCAGTCTCCTCGCACTGACCCTTCAGCTTCTCCTGCAATACAACAACACAATCCAGTCTCCTTGCACTGACCCTTCAGCTTCTCCTGCAATACAACAACACAATCCAGTCTCCTCACACTGACCCTTCAGCTTCTCCTGCAATACAACAACACAATCCAGCCTCCTCGCACTGACCCTTCAGCTTCTCCAGCAATGCAACAACACAATCCAGTCTGCTCTCACTGACCCTTCAGCTTCTCCTGCAATACAACAACACAATCCAGTCTCCCCTCACTGACCCTTCAGTTTCTCCTGCAATACAACAACACAATCCAGTCTCCTTGCACTGACCTGTCAGCTTCTCCAGCAATACAACAACATAATCCAGCCTCCTCTTCAGCTTCTCCTGCAATGCAACTGACTGACTTCAGCTTCTCCAGCAATACAACAACATAATCCAGTCTCCTCGCACTGACCCTTCAGCTTCTCCAGCCTCAATACAACAACACAATCCAGTCTCCTCGCACTGACCCTTCAGCTTCTCCAGCCTCAATACAACAACACAATCCAGTCTCCTCGCACTGACCCTTCAGCTTCTCCAGCCTCAATACAACAACATAATCCAGTCTCCTCAGCTTCTCCCTGACCCTTCAGCTTCTCCAGCCTCAATACAACAACATAATCCAGTCTCCTCGCACTGACCCTTCAGCTTCTCCAGCAATACAACAACATAATCCAGTCTCCTCACACTGACCCTTCAGCTTCTCCAGCAATACAACAACATAATCCAGTCTCCTCGCACTGACCCTTCAGCTTCTCCAGCAATACAACAACACAATCCAGTCTGCTCTCACTGACCCTTCAGCTTCTCCAGCAATACAACAACACAATCCAGTCTCCTCGCACTGACCCTTCAGCTTCTCCAGCAATACAACAACATAATCCAGCCTCCTTGCACTGACCCTTCAGCTTCTCCTGCAATACAACAACATAACCCAGTCTCCTCGCACTGACCCTTCAGCTTCTCCAGCCTCAATACAACACCATAATCCAGTCTCCTCGCACTGACCCTTCAGCTTCTCCAGCAATACAACAACACAATCCAGTCTCCTCGCACTGACCCTTCAGCTTCTCCAGCAATACAACAACATAACCCAGTCTCCTCGCACTGACCCTTCAGCTTCTCCAGCCTCAATACAACAACATAACCCAGTCTCCTCGCACTGACCCTTCAGCTTCTCAGCAATACAACAACACAATCCAGTCTCCTCGCACTGACCCTTCAGCTTCTCCAGCAATACAACAACATAACCCAGTCTCCTCGCACTGACCCTTCAGCTTCTCCAGCAATACAACAACATAATCCAGCCTCCTCGCACTGACCCTTCAGCTTCTCCAGCAATACAACAACATAACCCAGTCTCCTCGCACTGACCCTTCAGCTTCTCCAGCAATACAACAACATAATCCAGCCTCCTCTCACTTACCCGTCAGCTTCTCCAGCAATACAACAACATAACCCAGTCTCCTCGCACTGACCCTTCAGCTTCTCCAGCCCAATACAACAACATAATCCAGTCTCCTCGCGCACTGACCCTTCAGCTTCTCCAGCCTCAATACAACAACATAACCCAGTCTCCTCGCACTGACCCTTCAGCTTCTCCAGCAATACAACAACATAATCCAGTCTCCTCGCACTGACCCTTCAGCTTCTCCAGCCTCAATACAACAACATAACCCAGTCTCCTCGCACTGACCCTTCAGCTTCTCCAGCCTCAATACAACAACATAACCCAGTCTCCTCGCACTGACCCTTCAGCTTCTCCAGCAATACAACAACATAATCCAGTCTCCTCACACTGACCCTTCAGCTTCTCCAGCAATACAACAACATAACCCAGTCTCCTCGTACTGACCCTTCATCTTCTCCAGCCTCAATACAACAACATAATCCAGTCTCCTCGCACTGACCCTTCAGCTTCTCCAGCCTCAATACAACAACATAACCCAGTCTCCTCGCACTGACCCTTCAGCTTCTCCAGCCTCAATACAACAACATAATCCAGCCTTCTCGCACTGACTGGCCACTGGCAATGTCCACATGTTTAGTTCCGTTTGTGACTTAGCATTAAGTTGGAGTTACATTAAAGGTCACATGTAACCAAAAAATCAAACATAATAATTAAAACACAATTATCACTTATTCATGACATATAATATACATTGCTGGTTATGAAAAAACATAAAAACAAAATTATAAGCGTACAATCGCAAATAAAAAGTGCAATATTTTGTACTTGGGTTTACTTCCCAAGAAACGAAGCAGCCGGGATACCGAACCCAGTCAGAGCGGGTGGGTGTGCACTCAAGTGTAACGGCCGGTTCATTTGCAGATGCCCTCACGGCTCATTGTGTGTGTATATATAGAGATGTTGAGTTTTATAAATACATGCTCATTATTTGTGTATAACATTTTGCAATCAACAGACATCATAACATGTCATGTGTACAAGTATCACACCTGCCTGTCTGTGTAATTACATAATGTGACAGAGACCGAACTCGGGCCATAAATCAATGCGTTTTGTTTATGGTGTATAGCCTGATAGGTGTTTGGTTCAAATTGCATGTGGTCAGTGATTGAAATTGTGTATTGAATATTGTCATTAGCAGACGGGCAGGCAGACACATAGGTGCCAATAAAACAGACTTTGAGTTTTGTCTGTGACAACGACATATCTATATCAAAGTCAGAAATTCTGTCGACGCTAAATAATGACATTGCTTTTAAGTATCGAACTGAGAAAGTGACTCGGTAAGAAGAAAGTGTGGTGAAATAGACAAATGAAATCATAAAAACAGTTAAATCGGTAATCTACTGTAATAACATATAAAAAGCTCGCGCCTGTGAAATATTTAACAAAACATTAGAAAAATAGCTCACACCAAAGCCTTCAACGAATATTCACCGGACAACCCGCTTCCAAGCTCCGCGAACCTATTTCACTGCGCATGTGCTATGAGCGCAGCCCAGCTGTTGAAACCACTTCAATTCCCCAAACGCTGGGGGAAAGTTAGTGAATCGTTTGAACTACGATTTCGCGCGGTTTTTTTCATCGCATTATTTTTCAACTTTATTGTTGAATTTGCATTTTTGATGATTTGTTTCGGTAAGTCCATACGGAAAGGTATCAGAATCTGCAAAGTTGTGTTTTACGTTGCATGTGACCTTTAAAGATGGTGTCATTGTTGTTAAAAGATTTTCTGCATAGATACCAGGTTAAGATTGACAAATATGACACAATGACTGTTTCAAAAAATGTTTTTCAATAATGAATGTAACAGGTATAAATGGTTCAATATTATAGTTTATGTTTCCTTAAACAAAGTGAAAGAACGCATGACAACACTTACCCCATAGTGATAAAAATAAAACATTGACAGGCAGTGATCAAGGTGACACAACATCTTATTCAAGCATCACATCAACAAACAATACTTCTCTTCAAAACGAAGGAAAACAACAAATATGTGACAAAAATAAATATACAACAAGCTCCACACATTCTTGTCATGCCAAGATGGAGCCACAAACAGTCACATTACAATAAGCATGGCAGTGTCCAGTACTTGATGTAGCTACATGGTAACAGGAGTGTTTAGTGCTGGTTGATCTTACTAAGGTTTGGATGACCTTGTGTCCAGCCTTTGCCACCCCGTCCTTACATCCTGCCAGGTCCATGAAGTACCGCACGTTCTCCAGGTGAAACAGGAGCTGCAGCAGGAAGACAGGGGTCAGCACAATGGGGATGTACACAGATTCTGCAGCTATGGAGGGTAGAAGGGTGTCAGCACAATGGGGATGTACACAGATTCTGCAGCTATGGAGGGTAGAAGGGTGTCAGCACAATGGGGATGTACACAGATTCTGCAGCTATGGAGGGTAGAAGGGTGTCAGCACAATGGGGATGTACACAGATTCTGCAGCTATGGAGGGTAGAAGGGTGTCACAATGGGGATGTACACAGATTCTGCAGCTATGGAGGGTAGAAGGTGTCAGCACAATGGGGATGTACACAGATTCTGCAGCTATGGAGGGTAGAAGGGTGTCAGCACAATGGGGATGTACACAGATTCTGCAGCTATGGAGGGTAGAAGGGTGTCAGCACAATGGGGATGTACACAGATTCTGCAGCTATGGAGGGTAGAAGGGTGTCAGCACAATGGGGATGTACACAGATTCTGCAGCTATGGAGGGTAGAAGGGTGTCAGCACAATGGGGATGTACACAGATTCTGCAGCTATGGAGGGTAGAAGGGTGTCAGCACAACGGGGATGTACACAGATTCTGCAGCTATGGAGGGTAGAAGGGTGTCAGCACAATGGGGATGTACACAGATTCTGCAGCTATGGAGGGTAGAAGGGTGTCAGCACAATGGGGATGTACACAGATTCTGCAGCTATGGAGGGTAGAAGGGTGTCAGCACAATGGGGATGTACACAGATTCTGCAGCTATGGAGGGTAGAAGGGTGTCAGCACAATGGGGATGTACACAGATTCTGCAGCTATGGAGGGTAGAAGGGTGTCAGCACAATGGGGATGTACACAGATTCTGCAGCTATGGAGGGTAGAAGGGTGTCAGCACAATGGGGATGTACACAGATTCTGCAGCTATGGAGGGTAGAAGGGTGTCAGCACAATGGGGATGTACACAGATTCTGCAGCTATGGAGAGTAGAAGGGTGTCAGCACAATGGGGATGTACACAGATTCTGCAGCTATGGAGGGTAGAAAGGGTGTCAGCACAATGAGGATGTACACAGATTCTGCAGCTATGGAGAGTAGAAGGGTGTCAGCACAATGGGGATGTACACAGATTCTGCAGCTATGGAGAGTAGAAGGGTGTCAGCACAATGGGGATGTACACTGATTCTGCAGCTATAGAGAGTAGAAGGGTGTCAGCACAATGGGGATGTACACAGATTCTGCAGCTATAGAGAGTAGAAGGGTGTCAGCACAATGGGGTATGTGGAGCTACAGATGTCTGCAGCTGTAGACGTGGATTCTGTAGAAGGGTGTCAGCACAATGGGGATGTAAATGGATTCTGTAAATGGAAGGGGATAAGACAATGGAGATGTGGTATGTGGAAGGGGATAAGACAATGGAGATGTGGTATGTGGAAGGGGATAAGACAATGGACATGTGGTATGTGGAAGGGGATAAGACAATGGACATGTGGTATGTGGGAGGGGATAAGATAATGGAGATGTGGTATGTGGGAGGGGATAAGATAATGGAGATGTGGTATGTGGAAGGGGATAAGACAATAGAGATGTGGTATGTGGAAGGGGATAAGACAATGGACATGTGGTATGTGGAAGGGGATAAGATAATGGACATGTGGTATGTGGAAGGGGATAAGACAATGGACATGTAAGGTATGTGGAAAGGGGATAAGACAATGGACATGTGGTATGTATGTGAAGGGGGATAAGATAATGGACATGTGGTATGTAGGGATAGATGAGGGAAGGACAAGACAATGGACATGTGGTATGTGGAAGGATAAGACAATGGACATGTGGTATGTGGAGGGGATAAAGACAATGGACATGGGTAATGGAAGGGACAAGATGAATGGACATGTGGACATGGAAGGGGATAAGACAATGGACATGGGTATGTGGAAGGGGATAAGACAATGGACATAAAGACAACGGACATGTGGAAGGGGATAAGACAATGGACATGGTATGTGGAAGGGGATAAGACAATGGACATGTGACATGGGAAGGGGATAAGACAATGGACATGGAGATGTGGATATGACAGGGGATAAGACAATGGACATGGACAAGACATGTGGACATGGAAGGATAAAGACAATGGACATGTGGTATGGGACATAAGACAATGGAGATGTGGTATGACAAGAGGGATAAGACAATGGACATGTGGGTGGTATGGAAGGGGATAAGACAATGGAGATGTGACAACAATGGACAATGGGAATGTGGAGAGGATAAGACAATGGACATGTGGTATGTGGAGAAGATAAGACAATGGAGATGTGGTATGTGGAAGGATAGGGATAAGACAATGGAGATGTGGTATGTGGGAAGGGATCAAGACAATGGAGGATGTGGAATGTGGGAAGAGGGATAAGACAATGGACATGTGGAATGTGGACAAGGATAAGACAATGGACATGTGGTATGTGGAAGGGATAAAGATAATGGACATATGTGGGGATGATGGAAGGATAAGACAATGGAGTGTGGTATGTGGAAGAGGGATAAGACAATGGACATGACAAGGATGTGGAAGGATAAGACAATGGAGATGTGATAACGGAGAGGGATAAGATGGAAGGACAAGACAACGAGATGGAAGATAGATAATGGAGATATGTGGTATGTGGAAGGGATAAGACAATGGACATGTGGTATGGTATGGGAGGATAAGACAATGGAGATGTGGTATGTGGAAGGGATAAGATAATGGAGATGTGGTATGTGGGAGAGGATAAGACAATGGAGATGTGGTATGTGGAATGGAGGGATAAGACAATGGAGATGGACAGGGATAAGATGGAGATGGGTATGGACAAGGGGATAAGACAATGGAGGATGTGGTATGTGGAGAGGATAAAGACAATGGAGTGGGAGGAATGGATAATGGAGACGGGATAATGGAAGGGGATAAGATAATGGAGATGTGATGTGGAAGAGGGATAAGACAATGGAAGGATAAGACACAAGATGGACATGTGAAGGGGATAAGACAATGGACATGGATGTGGATGGAGTGGTGGTATGGATAAGATAATGGAGATGTGGTATGTGGAAGGGGATAAGACAATGGGATGTGGTATGGAAGGGGATAAGACAATGGAGATGTGGTGATGGAAGGATAAGATAATGAGATATGCAGAACATTTTTACCTTCTGTGACAGGTGGGATGTGGAAAGAACACACAACCTGGCTGATGTGTTATTGACTTTTCAGGCGTCATCATATGCTTTCTCATGTACCAGTCCAGTGCGGTCAGTGAGTGGCCAGTGATTTCCACAGGTCCCAAACTGTACTCATCCCCTCTAAACCCACAACATCCATATTGTCAAGGGTTAACAATTTCTTGATGTCCACGTTTGAAAAAGCTTCCATGGAGAAGGAAGGAATCAGATTATTTTGATAGAAAAGCCATATCCAAAATTTCACATATGTGGGTAATGTGGTTAAGGAGATATTAGTCATCACAACATATTGGGTATAATATTTCTAAAAACATTGCAGAAAATGAAAAACGATCCGTCATTTGTTACCTCTTGGATAATGGTATGCCCTCAGATAATATCATATAAAATATGTTCAGTATAGTATTGGATAACTTCCCGTCATAATCAGCAGTCAAAGATTTGGATTGCTTGATTTATATTTAGACAGGGGCTGTTTCTTAAGGACACCCCATTTTAATCTTTACAAAAACACTGTGTCCAGGGGGGAAAGAGGAAAGGGAGAGAGGAGGGAGGAAGAGCGAGAGAGGGGAGGAGAGTGGGGAGGGTCAAATGTCCTAACACCTGTAACATGAGAAGACCTTCCTAGTTCTACTGACAGCAGCTGCATGGACGTGATTCATGTACATATCGGGAAGTCAGTGCACTTACTTCATCAGAGTGCTGAACACATTCAAATCAGTCAGAGTCTTGCTGAGCCCTCCCTTGTCTCCCAGTTCCTCCAGTAACCATGGTAACTCAAATGCAGGACGTTTCCGTATTGAGAAGGGCACTTGCGGCCAGATTGGGTGGCTCTGTCAAAATAGTCTTGTCAACACAGTGACATTGTAGACAAAGTTACACTGCCAGTCATTCCAGTTCATAAATATTTGACTTATGACATGTCCGCAACTACTGCCCTGCTTCAGTGGCAGTCTGATATACATAATGTGTCAATGATGTGTGCCCCTGGCACTCAGACCTGACTGGCCACTTGTATTGAATGTTTCCATGCACGTCATCTACATAAGGTAATAAACTGTGGGTCTCTCATTGGCTAATAGATCTCGGTGTTTCCTGCCAATGTCATAGGTGTGGACCAATCTGGACTATATGCATCTATGATTTAATGCAATGAATAAGTCTGATATAGGAAAACATTAAACTTCATACCTTACGTTTGTCTCCAAAATACTGTACCAAAATCTTTAAGGCTGACGACCTGAAAAAGAGACAAGTGATCATGTTTTGAGAGTGTTTTTCACTATAACAAGGCTCCATGGGTTCGTTTTGCTGTAGTCCCAGCACAAAGAGTATCCTTCAATGCAATATAACTATATCCATAAGAGTATCCTTCAATGCAATATAACTATATCCATAGGAGTATCCTTCAATGCAATATAACTATATCCATAGGAGTATCCTTCAATGCAATATAACTATATCCATAAGAGTATCCTTCAATGCAATATAACTATATCCATAAGAGTATCCTTCAATGCAATATAACTATATCCATAAGAGTATCCTTCAATGCAATATAACTATATCCATAGGAGTATCCTTCAATGCAATATAACTATATCCATAGGAGTATCCTTCAATGCAATATAACTATATCTATAAGAGTATCCTTCAATGCAATATAACTATATCCATAAGAGTATCCTTCAATGCAATATAACTATATCCATAGGAGTATCCTTCAATGCAATATAACTATATCCATAAGAGTATCCTTCAATGCAATATAACTATATCCATAGGAGTATCCTTCAATGCAATATAACTATATCCATAAGAGTATCCTTCAATGCAATATAACTATATCCATAGGAGTATCCTTCAATGCAATATAACTATATCCATAAGAGTATCCTTCAATGCAATATAACTATATCCATAGGCATCTATTTCAACTACTGTTTGACCTGTAAAACATGAAGTAACATCACAGAATACAGATGAAGTTCCTCACCTGTCTTGTGTAGATGTGAGGTACCTCTTCTCTACCGCATGCCCAAGTTGTGGGAAGGAGAACCTGTAACGGCACCAGCATACTGACACTACCACGATAACGCTACTCTCACACATGGCTATTACAGTCGAACCCCAATATCTCGAACTCGGTTGAGACGAATTCAGCGTTGTGTTGATTTCATATCTCAGTCCCTGTCGATTTCCTTTTATTTATCATTATTTTACCCTGATGTTTCGAACTAGATCTGTCAACTTCCCGGTTGTGTCGAACTCATTTTAGGGTCTCCAAAAGCCCCAATAATAACAAATTTACCCTTTTGTCTTGAACTGTCAAGTTGGTTCTTGCAACAGAAAACTTCACGCCATCAAAAGTGATGCTCATAAACGGATTCAACAATCAAGTGGCATGTTTAACTATACATCTATCACACTTACCAACTGATTTATTACTCACACAATTAACCTTAATTAATTTGTTACCAGTGACACGTTGATCACAGACGGACAGGATATCTTAACATGCCATCTGTGTTAGCGGTCATGTGATTACCTTGTGAATACAAAATGAGAAGTAAGGAAAACGGATTTGGATTATCTAAATTGATGTTTTGTTTTGGGTTTATCATTTAAGATGTAAGATCAAAATCAGTATGGTGACGGATGTGTCAACACTCAGGTAAGTCAAGCTTTTCCCTTCGACTCAGCATGGTTTGACTGTATATGTTTTTTCAGAATATGTCATATATTCATTAATCCTTGATTCCCTCAACTGACCCACCAACTGCTATTACAAAAACAGTACCAAAGCATCAGGCACCACTACCATAAGTTTGACAGCTATCACAGTATGCATAGAAGTCTAAATTGAATGGGTTTTTTAAAATAAAAAAATTCCCCTTCCAAACTATTAATGTTTTATGATGGAATAAATGTGAGATTCAGTTCCATAGTTTTATGATTCTTATTTCAAATGACCATTTTGTATGTACGAATACCAATTTTCATTTTTGACATCTGGTCGTCAGTGATGTAAGCTCAGGACCACAGCAGTGACAGGAACTGTGTCAATATGTTTTGTTTACTCATACAAAAACAGATGGGCCTAGAGTTTCGAAGCTCTCTAAGCGCTAAGATAGTCCTAAGTGCCATACATTAACATCAACTTACAACTATCTTTGCACTAAGAGAGCTTCGAAAATCTAGGCCATGGTCTATGAAAACATATGTTCTCTACTGGAAACCAGAAACCTGAAATCATTGAGAATCACCTGAGCAATCCTGAGCGTAGAACTATAAACTGTTCCAGTGCACAGTACAGTGGCAGCCACACGGTGATAGAGATGTCCAGTACTTCCATGATCTCACTCTCAGACAGACCCTCATGTGCCACTTGCAGCAGTTGAACCACCTGCAACATCACACAACACTGTACAGCAGCATAACACCATCACACCACCCTGTACAGCACCATAACACCATCACACCACCCTGTACAGCACCATAACACCATCACACACCCTGTACAGCACCATAACACCATCACACCACCCTGTACAGCACCATAACACCATCACAACACCCTGTACAGCACCATAACACCATCACACCACCCTGTACAGCACCATAACACCATCACACCACCCTGTACAGCACCATAACACCATCACACCATCTGTACAGCACCATAACACCATCCTCCTGTACAGCAGCATAACACCATCACAACACCCTGTACAGCACCATAACACCATCACACACCACCCTGTACAGCACCATAACACCATTACACCACCCCTGTACAGCACCATAACACCATCACACCACCCTGTACAGCACCATAACACTATCACACCACCCTGTACAGCACCATAACACCATCACACCACCCTGTACAGCACCATAACACCATCACCACCCTGTACAGCACCATTACACCATCCACCACCCTGTACAGCACCATCACACCACCCTGTACAGCACCATAACACCATCACACCACCCTGTACAGCACCATAACACCATCACACCACCCTGTACAGCACCATAACACCATCACACCACCCTGTACAGCACCATTACACCATCACACCACCCTGTACAGCACCATAACACCACCCTGTACAGCACCATAACACCATCACACCACCCTGTACAGCACCATAACACCATCACACCACCCTGTACAGCACCATAACACCATCACACCACCCTGTACAGCACCATAACACCATCACATCACACCACCCTGTACAGCACCATAACACCATCACACCACCCTATACAGCACCATAACACTATCACAGCACCCTGTACAGCACCATAACACCATCACACCACCCTGTACAGCACCATAACACCATCACACACCACCCTGTACAGCACCATAACACCATCACACCAACCCTGTACAGCACCATAACACCATCACAACACCCTGTACAGCACCATAACACCATCACACCACCCTGTACAGCACCATAACACCATCACACCACCCTGTACAGCACCATAACACCATCACACCACCCTGTACAGCACCATAACACCATCACAACACCCTGTACAGCACCATAACACCATCACACCACCCTGTACAGCACCATAACACCATCACACACCACCCTGTACAGCACCATAACACCATCACACCACCCTGTACAGCACCATAACACCATCACACCACCCTGTACAGCACCATAACACCATCACAGCACCCTGTACAGCACCATAACACCATCACACCACCCTGTACAGCACCATAACACCATCACAACACCCTGTACAGCACCATAACACCATCACACCACCCTGTACAGCACCATAACACCATCACACCACCCTGTACAGCACCATAACACCATCACACCACCCTGTACAGCACCATAACACCATCACACCACCCCTGTACAGCACCATAACACCATCACACCACCCTGTACAGCACCATAACACCATCACACCACCCTGTACAGCACCACAACACCATCACACCACCCTGTACAGCACCATAACACCATCACACCACCCTGTGCAGCACCATAACACCATCACACCACCCTGTACAGCACCATAACACCATAACACCATCACACCACCCTGTACAGCACCATAACACCATCACACCACCCTGTACAGCACCATAACACCATCACACCCCATGTACAGCACCATAACACCATAACACCATCACACCCCATGTACAGCACCATAACACCATCACAACACCCTGTACAGCACCATAACACCATCACACCACCCTGTACAGCACCATAACACCATCACACCACCCTGTACAGCACCATAACACCATCACACCACCCTGTACAGCACCATAACACCATCACACCACCCTGTACAGCACCATAACACCATCACACCACCCTGTACAGCACCATAACACCATCACACCACCCTGTACAGCAGCATAACACCATCACACCACCCTGTGCAGCACCATAACACCATCACACCACCCTGTACAGCACCATAACACCATCACACCACCCTGTACAGCACCATCACACCATCACAAACCACCCTGTACAGCACCATAACACCATCACACCACCCTGTACAGCACCATAACACCATCACACCACCCTGTACAGCACCATAACACCATCACACCACCCTGTACAGCACCATAACACCATCACACCACCCTGTACAGCACCATAACACCATCACAACACCCTGTACAGCACCATAACACCATCACACCACCCTGTACAGCACCATAACACTATAACACTCACACCCTATGTACAGCACCATAACACCATCACACCACCCTGTACAGCACCATAACACCATCACACCACCCTGTACAGCACCATAACACCATCACACCACCCTGTACAGCACCATAACACCATCACACCACCCTGTACAGCACCATAACACCATCACACCACCCTGTACAGCACCATAACACCATCACACCATCCCCTGTACAGCACCATAACACCATCACACCACCCTGTACAGCACCATAACACCATCACACCACCCTGTACAGCACCATAACACCATCACAACACCCTGTACAGCACCATAACACCATCACACCACCCTGTACAGCACCATAACACCATCACACCACCCTGTACAGCAGCATAACACCATCACACCACCCTGTACAGCACCATAACACCATCACACCACCCTGTACAGCACCATAACACAATCACACCACCCTGTACAGCACCATAACACCATCACACCACCCTGTACAGCACCATAACACCACCCTGTACAGCACCCTATACAGCACCACAACACCATCACACCACCTCTGTACAGCACCATAACACACCATACACCACCCTATACAGCACCATAACACCATCACACCACCCTATACAGCACCATAACACCATCACACCACCCTGTACAGCACCACAACACCATCACACCACCCTGTACAGCACCATAACACTATCACAACACCCTGTACAGCACCATAACACTATCACACCACCCTGTACAGCACCATAACACTATCACACCACCCTGTACAGCACCATAACACCATCACACCCTGTACACCCTGTACAGCACCACAACACCATCACACCACCCTGTACAGCACCATAACACCATCACACCACCCTGTACAGCACTATAACACCATCACAACACCCTGTACAGCACCATAACACCATCACACCACCCTGTACAGCACCATAACACCATCACACCACCCCTGTACAGCACCATAACACTATCACACCACCCTGTACAGCACCATAACACCATCACAACACCCTGTACAGCACTACAAACACTCATCACACCACCCTGTACAGCACCATAACACCATCACACCACCCTGTACAGCACCATAACACCATCACACCACCCTGTACAGCACCATAACACCATCACACCACCCCTGTACAGCACCATAACACCATCACACCACCCTGTACAGCACCATAACACATCACACCACCCTGTACAGCACCATAACACCATCACACCACCCTGTACAGCACCATAACACCATCACACCACCCTGTACAGCACCATAACACTATCACACCACCCTGTACACAGCATAACACCATCACACACCACCTGTACAGCACCATAACACTATCACACCACCCTGTACAGCACCATAACACCATCACAACACCCTGTACAGCACCATAACACTATCACAACACCCTGTACAGCACCATAACACCATCACACACACCCTGTACAGCACCATAACACTATCACACCACCCCTGTACAGCAGCATAACACCATCACAACACCCTGTACAGCACCATAACACCATCACAACACCCTGTACAGCACCATAACACCATCACAACACCCTGTACAGCACCATAACACCATCACACCACCCTGTACAGCACCATAACACCATCACACCACCCTGTACAGCACCATAACACCATCACACCTCCCTGTACAGCACCATAACACCATCACACCACCCTGTACAGCACCATAACACCATCACACCACCCTGTACAGCACCATAACACCATCACAGCACCCTGTACAGCACCATAACACCATCACACCACCCTGTACAGCACAACACACTATCACACCACCCTGTACAGCACCATAACACCATCACACCACCCTGTACAGCACCATAACACCATTACACCACCCTGTACAGCACCATAACACCATCACACCACCCTATACAGCACCATAACACCATCACACCTCCCTGTACAGCATCATTACACCATCACACTGCCCTATACAGCACCATAACACCATCACACCACCCTGTACAGCACCATAACACCATCACACCACCCTGTACAGCACCATAACACCATCACACCACCCTGTACAGCACCATAACACCATCACAACACCCTATACAGCACCATAACACCATCACACCACCCTGTACAGCACCATAACACCATCACACCACCCTGTACAGCACCATAACACCATCACACCACCCTGTACAGCACCATAACACCATCACACCACCCTGTACAGCACCATAACACCATCACACCACCCTGTACAGCACCATAACACCATCACACCACCCTGTACAGCACCATAACACCATCACAACACCCTGTACAGCACCATAACACCATCACACCACCCTGTACAGCACCATAACACCATCACAGCACCCTGTACAGCACCATAACACCATCACAGCACCCTGTACAGCACCATAACACCATCACACCACCCTATACAGCACCATAACACAATCACACCACCCTATACAGCACCATAACACCATCACACCACCCTGTACAGCACCATAACACCATCACACCACCCTGTACAGCACCATAACACCATCACAACACCCTGTACAGCACCATCACACCACCCTGTACAGCACCATAACACCATCACACCACCCTGTACAGCACCATAACACCATCACACCACCCTGTACAGCACCATAACACCATCACACCACCCTGTACAGCACCATAACACCATTACACCACCCTGTACAGCACCATAACACCATCACACCACCCTGTACAGCACCATAATACCATCACACCACCCTGTACAGCACCACAACACCATCACATCACCCTGTACAGCACCACAACACCATCACACCACCCTGTACAGCACCATAACACCATCACAACACCCTGTACAGCACCACAACACCATCACACCACCCTGTACAGTGGCAGCCACACGGTGATAGAGATGTCCAGCACGTCCATGATCTCACTCTCAGACAGACGCTCATGTGCCACTTGCAGCAGCTGAACCACCTGCAACATCACAACACCCTGTACAGCACCATAACACCATCACACCACCCTGTACAGTACCATAACACCATCACACCACCCTGTACAGCACCATAACACCATCACACCACCCTGTACAGCACAATTACACCATCACACCACCCTGTCCAGCACCATAACACCATTACACCACCCTGTACAGCACCATAACACCATTACACCACCCTGTACAGCACCATAACACCATCACACCACCCTGTACAGCACCATAACACCATCACACAATCACCCTTTCTCACACACTTACCATCTATACAACATTAGGACACACCCTTTCACACACTCACTGCCTGTACAACATTTTGACACACCCTTTCACACACTCACTGCTTGTACAACATTAGGACACACCCTTACCATATGTACAACACTAGGACACACCCTTTCACACACTTACCATCTGTACAACATTAGGACACACCCTTCCACACACTCACTGCCTGTACAACATTTGGACACACCCTTACCATATGTACAACACTAGGACACATCCCTTTCACACACTTACCATCTGTACAACATTTGGACACACCCTTCCACACACTCACTGCCTGTACAACATTTGGACACACCCTTACCATATGTACAACACTAGGACACACCCTTTCACACACTTACCATCTGTACAACATTTGGACACACCCTTCCACACACTCACTGCCTGTACAACATTTGGACACACCCTTACCATCTGTACAACATTAGGACACACCCTTTCACACACTTACCATATGTACAACACTAGGACACACCCTTTCACACACTTACCATCTGTACAACATTAGGACACATCCTTTCACACACTCACTGCCTGTACAACATTAGGACACACCCTTTCACACACTTACCATCTGTACAACATTAGGACACACCCTTTCACACACTTACCATCTGTACAACATTAGGACACACCCTTTCACACCCTTACCATCTGTACAACATTAGGACACACCCTTCCACACACTCACTGCCTGTACAACATTTGGACACACCCTTACCATATGTACAACACTAGGACACACCCTTTCACACACTTACCATCTGTACAACATTAGGACACATCCTTTCACACACTCACTGCCTGTACAACATTAGGACACACCCTTTCACACACTTACCATCTGTACAACATTAGGACACACCCTTTCACACACTTACCATCTGTACAACATTTGGAGACACCCTTTCACACACTTACCATCTGTACAACATTAGGGTAATCAGGGGTGTTGTAATCAGCTTCTAACCTCTCTAAGAGTGAGGCACACAATTCCTCAATGCTGGAAAAACAACAACAGTCAATAACTGAAACGGTGCTTTGAAAAAAACTGATGAACATATATAACTGTTTCTTCAAACACAAATATTGAAATTTTAATCATCTTAAACAATGAACAACTTTGCCATGACAAATACATGTTCAGCATATCTGGGAAGTTAGTTGCTGTTATGTTTGTAACATTATCAATCCGAAGTCAAATGTTCATGATGATTCTTCAACCTGCTTTTTGTCTGATACTATTTACATTAATACTCAGACAAATGTGATACTATTTACATTAATACTCATACAAACGTGATACTATTTACATTAATACTCATACAAACATGATACTATTAATTACTCATACAAACGTGATACTATTTACATTAATACTCATACAAACATGATACTATTTACATTAATACTCATACAAACGTGATACTATTTACATTAATACTCATACAAACATGATACTATTTACATTAATACTCATACAAACATGATACTATTTACATTAATACTCATACAAACATGATACTATTTACATTAATACTCATTTACATTAATACTCATACAAACATGATACTATTTACATTAATACTCATACAAACATGATACTATTTACATTAATACTCATACAAACATGATACTATTTACATTAATACTCATACAAACATGATACTATTTACATTAATACTCAGACAAACGTGACACTACTATTTACATTAATACTCAGACAAACGTGATACTATTTACATTAATACTCATACAAACGTGATACTATTTACATTAATACTCATACAAACATGATACTATTTACATTAATACTCATACAAACGTGATACTATTTACATTAATACTCATACAAACATGATACTATTTACATTAATACTCATACAAACGTGATACTATTTACATTAATACTCATACAAACATGATACTATTTACATTAATACTCATACAAACGTGATACTATTTACATTAATACTCATACAAACGTGATACTATTTACATTAATACTCATACAAACGTGATACTATTTACATTAATACTCATACAAACATGATACTATTTACATTAATACTCATACAAACATGATACTATTTACATTAATACTCATACAAACATGATACTATTTACATTAATACTCATACAAACATGATACTATTTACATTAATACTCATACAAACATGATACTATTTACATTAATACTCATACAAACATGATACTATTTACATTAATACTCATACAAATGTGATACTATTTACATTAATACTCATACAAACATGATACTATTTACATTAATACTCATACAAACATGATACTATTTACATTAATACTCATACAAACGTGATACTATTTACATTAATACTCATACAAACGTGATACTATTTACATTAATACTCATACAAACGTGATACTATTTACATTAATACTCATACAAACATGATACTATTTACATTAATACTCATACAAACGTGATACTATTTACATTAATACTCATACAAACATGATACTATTTACATTAATACTCATACAAACGCATACTAACGTGATACTATTACATACATACAAACGTGATACTATTTACATTAATACTCAGACAAACGTGATACTATTTACATTAATACTCATACAAACGTGATACTATTTACATTAATACTCAGACAAACGTGATACTGTTTACATTAATACTCATACAAACATGATACTATTTACATTAATACTCAGACAAACGTGATACAATTTACATTACTACTCATACAAACGTGATACTATTTACATTAATCCTCATACAAACATGATACTTTTTACATTAATACTCATACAAACATGATACTATTTACATTAATACTCATACAAACATGATACTATTTACATTAATACTCAGACAAACGTGATACTATTTACATTAATACTCAGACAAACTTGATACTATTTACATTAATACTCATTAAAACATGATACTATTTACATTAATACTCATTAAAAAATGATACTATAAGAATTACTGATACAAATATGATGCTACTTGAAATAAAACTGATGCAGATGTTTACACTTTCTTAGTCTTCTAGTCGTGAAGAATATTTTGATGTTTATTCTATCCAGTTGACTCAAGAAAATGTTCATCGGGGTTTGGCTTTGGACAAACATTACATACATGATTGCATGGATTTAACTTTACACAAACACCACATACATGCTGTCTTGTATTTGTGAAACACTAATTAGTGACAGATGGCACAAACCTGTTAGATTTGAGGAGAGTGTTAATCTTGTCATCCAGCTGGCGGAAGGAACCAAACACCTCCAGTTCCTGCAGAACAAACACATAAATAAGCTGAAGCTTGACCCATGGTTACATATGCCCAGTCAAACACACTTGACTAGGTTACCTGCTACATGTTGGTGCCCAGTCAAACACCCTGACGTACCACAGTACTAGGTTACCGTAACATATTGGCACCCAGTCAAACATCCTGACATACAACAGTACTAGGTTACCGGTAACATATTGGCACCCAGTCAAACATCCTGACATACAACAGTACTAGGTTACCGGTAACATGTTGGTACCCAGTCAAACATCCTGACATACAACAGTACTAGGTTACCGGTAACATATTGGCACCCAGTCAAACACCCTGACGTACCACAGTACTAGGTTACTTGTTACATATTAGTGGACAGTCAAACACCCTGACATACAACAGTACTAAGTTACCGGTTACATATTGGCACCCAGTCAAACATCCTGACAAACAACAGTACTAGGTTACCGGTAACATATTGGTACCCAGTCAAACATCCTGACATACAACAGTACTAGGTTACCGGTAACATATTGGTGGACAGTCAAACACCCTGACATACAACAGTACTAGGTTACCAGTAACATATTGGTACCCAGTCAAACACCCTGACGTACCACAGTACTAGGTTACCGGTAACATATTGGCACCCAGTCAAACATCCTGACGTATACAACAGTACTAGGTTACCGGTAACATATTGGCACCCAGTCAAACATCCTGATGTACCACAGTACTAGGTAACCGGTAACATATTGGTACCCAGTCAAACATCCTGACATACAACAGTACTAGGTTACCGGTAACATATTGGCACCCAGTCAAACATCCTGACGTACAACAGTACTAGGTTACCGGTAACATATTGGTACTAGGTTACCGGTAACATATTGGTGCCCAGTCAAACATCCTGACGCATACAACAGTACTAGGTTACCGTAACATATTGGTGGACAGTCAAACATCCTGACGTACAACAGTACTAGGTTACCGGTAACATATTGGCACCCAGTCAAACATCCTGACGTATAACAGTACTAGGTTACCGGTAACATATTGGCACCCAGTCAAACATCCTGACGTACCACAGTACTAGGTTACCGGTAACATGTTGGTGCCCAGTCAAACACCCTGACATACAACAGTACTAGGTTACCGGTAACATGTTGGCAGCCAGTCAAACACCCTGACGTACAACAGTACTAGGTGACCGGTAACATGATGGCGCCCAGTCAAACATCCTGACGTACAACAGTACTAGGTTACCGGTAACATGTTGGTGCCCAGTCAAACACCCTGACATACAACAGTACCAGGTTACCGGTAACATGTTGGTGGACAGTCAAACACCCTGACATACAACAGTACTAGGCTACCCAGTCAAACACCCTGATGTACAGCAGTACTAGGCTACCCAGTCAAACACCCTGTGAAATATTAAATATTAAGACAGGGGATCACTAAATATGCAGTGAAAAAACAACATGTTTGTGAATTGTCTAGAGAATAAAAAATATTGATTTGTCATGCAACTGAAATGCTTCTTATTCTCAGTTATCCATTCATTATTAAAATGTTATTAATCCTGGTTCAGTAAACAGTGATGCAATATGAGGTCTGACCGCAACGAGGATGTTGAGGTAGAGAGGGCTGCTGGTGTTTGTGTTGTCCACCACTCTCTGCAGCTGCTCTTTAGACAGAGACTTGCCGTAGCCACCCAGAGCTTTCTGTAAACAAAGAATACTACCTCTGTTACTTCTCTTCACTATCAACTACCCTCAACTAGTTAACATACAAATGATAGAATTATCTCCCTTCTGGACATCACCAGTAAAGTTAAATATTCACTATAACTTGTATCAATGGCAGATCACTGGACGACAGTCAGTGTGTGTGTCAGTGTTACTGTGATGTCAGTGCGTGTGTGTGTAGAGAGAGAGAGAGGGAGGGAGAGAGACTTATATATTGACTGCATGGTGTCTGTGTGTGTGAATTCGAATGTATGTGGTCAGTGTGTGACCATATCATGTCAGTGTGTGTGGCTGTTACTGTGATGTCAGTGAGTGCGTGTGTATGAGAGAGAGAGAGAGAGAAAGAGAGAGAGAGACTTATATTGACTGCATGGTGTCTGTGTGTGTGAATGTATGTGGTCAGTGAGTGTGTGACTATATTGTGTCATTGTGTGTGATGTAGTCTGTCTTACAGTCCCTGAACCACATTATTTTCCCTAATGCAGATAAGTGCAAAAATAGTTCACTTAATCATGCAAGCATAAAATTTGGCACACTCTTTCAAAAAAGGGCATTAGCCACGCAAAAATCCAAGATGGCTACCATTTTAAAGATGGCCACCGTCTACACTAAAAATGACTAATAATTACATTGTAAGTTGTAACTACTTCCAGTAAAACAACTTATTTCATTTTTTATGAAAAAATGAACTTTTTTTAATTACAATTTCAAAACAATACATAAATTAAACGGCAGTTTTAGCAAAAAAACAGTCAAAATTGTTCCTGAACTAACCACTGCACCCAGAATAACAGAGAAACTACACTTCACATTTGCAACTGCACAAGGCTGTGCATGTGAGACCAAACCGGTAGCATTTGTACCTGCCACGACAACCAGACTTGCAGCCACACTTAGTCAGCTGTTCACAACTCTTTGCAATGGGAGAGTTGACTGTCCAGAAGGTTTTCCATTCTTGCCAATCTTCTCCCATCCCAGGTCAGCTGGACTCTCTGCTTCTGGCTGGCGCAGAATTCCCTGAGCCCAACCACAACCTGCCTGATATGCTGCACGTTTAGCGTGTTGAATTAGAGCTGCTCTGGTTGGAGGGATGGCTTCATATGGTCTCTGCTTTCTGGCAAATAAGTCGAGTCTAGCCTCATCCACACCATCTACAGTGCTAGACCTGTCATACATGAGGACCACAAACTTCTCTACTATAACCATCAATGGTTGTTGGATGTTGGCTCAGTCTGGCAAATAATGGTGTTGCCTCTGGGAAAATGTCCCATGTTTGCCAAGCTGTTCTTTCCCTTTATTCCTAATAGCTGACACCACATCGCAACCTGTAAAAGCATGGAAGAACAACATGCCTTTGGCCTTCTCTTGACCAACAGAGTTGTGCAGGTTATGAATGCCAATCCATCGAAGGTTCTGACCTTGGCCAAATAAGAGCCACAGCTGCTGTAGACACATGCTTTGCAGTGTTAGGAACATACTCAGGCCAATCACAAGGACATCTGTGTCATTGGCTTTGATTATGATGGATTTGCTCCCTTGGGTTGCAGCATATCTGGCATGAACAAAGATGCGTCTGTCTGCCTCCTCATGAGAACACATTCGTCCAGTTCAGTCACTCACTTTGTGTGTGCCAAGTGCTTGGTGTCCCTTGGTCACAATAACCAAGTTTGGTGCAGACATCTGGACAATCCTGTCTGCCAGGAAGTGAAACAGCTCCGACTTGTTGTCATTGTGCCTCAGAAAGATGTGCCAGTATCAAGGAATGCTATTCTTTTCTGTCACCTTGCGTCTCACTCATTGTCCTCTTTTGGACCTTGTGTCTGCTTTCAGACTTAATGAACTGTACATTTCAAAGAGAACATGTGTTGTCTTGTATGTACTGGCATATGCTGACAGTCCTCTTTCAGCTGTTTCTGTTTTGATGGTTCTGCAACAGGCTTATCTTCACAGAAGAAGTCAAGTCTTTGCTTTCTGATGGGCTCATAGAATGATGTTGGATTATCTTCCAATCTTTTCACAAAGTTTTGGTTTTGTGTGCTACCCTTCTGCAAGTGAGTGTGAGCAGCCTCCGCAGAGCTGGGATGAGCTACATCTTTGGTGCCTATTTAAAACAAATCTACACTGTCTTCCAGAGAGTTTCTGGACCCTTTCTAGGACATGTGGTCTGCTCATGGTGAAGGCAGTGCTCGCTGGCCTCTTTTGTATGTGCTTCCATTTCATAGAGGAACACAAGATGGCTCACCTCAGGGCCAGAGACCATCCAACTCCTCATGGCTGATGGATTTTCAGTAACCCCAATGGCTCCACCGTCACCCTGCTCACGGGCCGGATCAAAAGCAAGCGCTGAGAAGTCACGCTTGTTCTTGTGCATAACAAAGTTGCCCATCTTGAATTCCTGCGCCAATGCTGGGTGCTTACTTTCCAAAGTCAGCATGTCCCTCAGATGAATAGGCAGCCATCGGGCATAATTGGTGTTGTTATTGGCAAACAGGTATGGGATCAACTCCCTCAATGCCTGACAGTATAGGCTGAAGTTGGCTTCACGGAATGATCTGATCAGCACGAGGACTGTAAGTTCCATTGACAACACCAAATGCCAGAATTGAAATTCAGACTTTGTTGGCTTTTGTTCTGATACCATTTCTCAAAGCCCAATACGTCTTCAATGATCTCTGCTTGTTCTGTGCAATAACTGTTGTAGGCACATTTTAGCAACTTGTAAAGGCTGCAGGCAGTGACCTGGTTTTGTTCACACTAGGTGAATTCCTAGCTGCTCCAAACGTTGTGTGTACAGATGGGATATGTCTGCCAGACGGAAGATGGCAGGGCCCTCTGAACTAAGACTGGTTTCTACCATGTAGTTCACTAGTTCTGATAGTACTAGTGGATAGACAGATAGACATCTGGTTCAGCTTCACTCTGACGGGAGGTTTTCTCTAGACTTCTTGGGTGAGTAGTTTCCCTATTGTAAAGGGCAGAGAGACATTTGCGATGATACTTTAGCTCCTGTGCAATGGCATCTGCACCACTCAGTTTAGGTAAAGGTTTACCATCATTAAGTGATGTGGAACACTCATGCAGTCTGTTGTTCAGATTCAAAGTCATGATCTGTAGCAGATCTGATGTAGGAGCTTTGCTATCACACAATACGCACGCTTCACAATCATGACTTGCCCTACAGTGTTTAGCTTGCCTTTTATCTGACTCACTTTGAACATCACAATGTCATTTCCTAGCACGTTCCAGCTTTGTGTTGTTAAACATGAGTCTACGACTTGTGTGGTATTTTGCCATATTCGTTCTCAATGTTGCCTCTATGCCACCACCTTCATCCAGCCTTGATGGGTCAAAGGTAAGTGGCATTTCAGACATCTCGTGACACAGGCACATTTGTGGCAATCCTGTTGTAGCCATCATGTTCTGGAACATGATGAGTAGGAAGTGAAGTCAGATTTTCATTTTTCTTTTCTTTTTGACATAGGCAGCATTATGTCCAGTCAGTCTGCCTCTTAGTTATGACCAGATTTCCACATGCCATTGTTAAGATTTAATTGAGGCTGAGGGTTTATCCTTTCACCACCTTAATTAAAATATGTAATAGTGCACATTCATGTATGGGATACAAGTAGGTTTGGTTGCCTTACACCTAGCCCGATCATTCATCAAGTGCCATTTAAGTCCCCTGTGATCTGTACACCATCCGGGTAAGTCAGGTGCGACTGTCTAACTTTATCTACAAACTATTTTATACTAGCTAATTGATATGGGACTATTAGACAGCATTTGGGACACTAATCTAAACTGCACTACACGTGATACTATTCTACTACTATAGATTTAGTAAAGCTGGAATGGTTTTAGTAAAGTTAGATCAGCTGACACTGAACCCCATGCTGAGTTACACAGCAGTGAAGTCACCAGTGTGCCCTGGTTGTGCAGTGACATTCGCTCTATTAGTATACCAACACCTAGTAAATAATGTTTACATCCTTTGAGAAAAGTTTAGATCAATTAGAATCTCTGACCCCAAAAACTGTGTAGATGAAAAAAGTCATTCATAGTGACAGTTGCTGAGATGAGATCAATACTAATTTTGCCCACCATCTTTGTTTTAGTACTTGGAATTGAAAGCGTGACAAAATTAACTTCAATAAATGAATAAACTGGTGATTGAATGGGATTATAAAAGAGGCAGCCATCTTGGATTTTTGCGTGGTTAACTCCCTTTTATGAAAGAGTGCTCCTTTGAGAATGTATGTGCCAAATTTTATGCTTGCATGATTAAGTGAACTATTTTGGGTCATTTTTGCATTTATCTGCTCCACTATAGCCCTCCCTGCAATGCTAAGCCCTAGATTTCCCCAGGTTCAGGGGCTTTTTTCAATTCATTTCGGTTTATTTGTTACTATCATAATTATATATATGCAGGGAATAAGCGTTAGTCTATGGGTGATACTGAATGTTGTCAGATTGTGCATGACTTACCTCACAGATCTGTTTTCTATGTGTAGCTTCCAACCCCTCGACAGTGAGGTGGTGGTAGTGTCGATGTGTCAGCAACTCCCCCAAAATGACAGTGTCAGTGTCGAGGGTGGACAAGACTATCTTCACTGTCTTGGGTAGTGTGTCTGGCAACCAGAACAGTGTCTGCGAGGAACAACGTTACAGTGACCAACACAACAATATTATCTTGATAATAGCATACACTACTGGTTCCCATATGTTCCAACAGAGAAAGCAGAATGGATTCTGTAGTAGATGGAAACCTTCATCACTTCAACAAACAGTGGGAGGCAGGAAGGGGGGTTGTTAAGGGCAGTGGCAGGCAGGAGGGAGGCTGGAGGAAGGGTGGGGGTAGGAGCAGTGGTTGGCAAGAGGGAGGGGTGAGGGTAGGAGCAGTGGCAGGCAGGAGGGAAGAGTGGGTGGGGGTAGGGTCAGTGAAGGGCTGGAGGGAGGGTAGGGGCAGTGGCTGGCAGGAGGGAGGGTGGGGGTAGGGGCAGTGGCAGGCAGGGAGGCTGGAAAGAGGGAGGGGCAGGATGGAGGCTAGAGGGAGGGTGGGGGGGCAGGCTGGAGGGAGGGGGGGGTAGGGGCAGTGGCAGGCAGGAGGGAGGGGCGGGGGGCACGAGTAGTGGCAGGCAGGAGGGAGGGGGGGTAGGTAGGGGCAGTGGAAGGCAGGGAGGGAGGGGGGGGTTGGGGAGACAGGAGGGAGGGGGTGGGTCAGCAGGGCAGGAGGTGTGGGGGTGGGTGGGAGGCAGGATGGAGGGGTGAGAGATGCAGGAGGGGAGAGGCTTAAGGCGGCAAGACATGAGGGGCAGAGGGAGCCAGTAGGAAAGGGACAAGATGGGAGCGGCAAAGGAAGATTCTTGATACAAAAAAAGTCATCCACCTTTGTTGTCTTGCCTGGTGTCTCCATTTTGTTGAGGCCATCTATCACTATGACAACGACAAGTTTTGCCTTCTCTGCCCTCTGCAAGCATGTCTGAAGATCTGCGATGATCTCCTGAACATCCAGTTTGGTGTATCGAGTGACCTTGTCCTTCACATCCAGGTGTTGCGTAACTTCCACTACAAGTCTCCTCAAGATGTTCACAGCCTCTGACCAACACTCCCACATTCATCATCACGATATACTCCCAATCTTACATTCATCATCACGATATACACAGATTAGGAATGGCTGAATCTTACTATTGTCAAGATATAGTCCAACAATCATCACGCTATATACATTAGATAAGGAATGGCTGAATCTTACACAGATAAGGAATGGCTGAATCTTACTATATAGTCAAGAATCATAGTCCAACAATCATCACGTCAAGATATAACAATCAGATACACAGATAGGAATGGCTGAATCTTACTATTGTCAAGATATAGTCCAACAATCATCAAGATATAGTCCAACAATTAATGCTATACACAGATAGGAATAATCTTACTATTGTCAAGATATAGTCCAACAATCATCACGCTTATACACAGATGGAATGGCTGAATCTTACTATTGTCAAGATATAGTCCAACAATCATCAATGCTATACACAGATATGGCTGAATCTTACTATTGTCAAGATATAGTCCAACAATCATCACGTTATACACAGATTAGGAATGGCTGAATCTTACTATTGTGGCTGAATCTTACTATTGATATAGTCCAACAATCATCATACGATTAGGAATGGCTGACACATTGAAGATAT